TTGAAATAATTGTAAACTCACAATAAATTGTAAAAACAAAAGGTAGAGGGAAGTAGATGAAGGTACCCTTCATCTAGTTTCCCCCAATGATAACATCTTTCATATTTATAGCACAATACCAAAGCCAGGAAAACCACATTGGCACAATCTACAGAACTTATTCAGATTTCACTGGTTTTTTATGTACTCATAGCTGTGTGCAGTTCTATGCTATTTTATCACCTGTGTAGATTTCTGTGACCACCACCACCATCAAGACACAGAACTGTTGCATCACCGCAAGGCTTCCCCCCCACCTCTTTATAACAACTCCCCCTCTGCTCCCACCTCCCATCCCTAAGCCCTGGCAACCACCAATCTATTTTATGTCTCCATAATTTTATTTCATTCACCTCCCCAAAGAAAGTCTGTCTAAGCACATTTCTGAATTCAGAAAGTGGAATTAAAACAAGGATATTTAGATGTCACAATAAAGGATATTCTTAGTTTGTCCGTATGGCCTAACTGACACATTTTTAACTTTAATTTTTTTATCTAAATATAAAGTTTTGAGGATCTTCAGTCTCCTCCCAAAACAAGAACCTTAACATGTTTCAACTACCCTTTGAATACTACTCCTCTCTCATACCCTCATTATTTACTAGGGTTTTGTCTTTTCTTAAAAAATATACCCTAAAAACCAAGTTCTTTTTTACAATCAGTAATTGGTTAAATTTATCAGAATATTTGCCACTTCCTGAATTTATCACTGTTTCTTCCATTCCACTTCTTCCCCACCCCCCACCCCACTCAGCCGTAACACATGCTTTGATAGCTTTCTCAATGAACATCTAAGTCCTCTTATTATTTCTATGTTTGCAAATGTCAATATAATTCTACCCTCATTCCTGTAACAAGTTTGCTAGACATAAAATTCTAGATGACAGTTATTTCACCCCAGCATTTTGAGGATAATTAGTATATTTGCCTTCTGTTATATGCTTCTACTGGTGGGAAATTTGCTGTCTAATGTCAATCCTCTTAGGTAATTTTTTTTTTCCTTTCTGGAAGCTTTTAAAATTTTTCTTTTTATTCTTGATGTTCCCAATTTCACAAATCTGTGACTAGGTGTGAAGTTACTTTTAATTATTCTACTTGCTCTTTGCAATACGCTTTCAATCTCAGGAATTTTGAAAATTCCTCAGATTTTGAAAATCCCTCAGTCATTTGAATATTGAATATTGCCTCTTATTTCCTCTATTCACTTCTTTTTGAATTACTGTTAGATTTAAGTGCAAATGTTGGAGGCTCTCTAGCTATCCTCGTTTCTTTTAATCAATCAAAGTCATTTTGTCTATCTGGGCTGCATTCTGAGCAAATTCCTGAGTATTATCTTGCAATTTGCTAATTCTCTCTTTGATTTTGACCTGTCTAGGAGGAAGTCATCTTCCATCTACAGCTTTTGTTGGATGTGTTTCCAAAAATGAATTTTCCACATTTTGGAATTTGGAGTTTTGGGGGTTTTTTTCTATTTGAAAGTACTTGAGGGCACCTGGGTGGCTCAGTCAGTTAAGTGTCTGCCTTTGGCTCAGGTCATGATCCCAGGGTCCTGGAATCGAGCCCTGCTTGGGCTCCCTGCTCAGTGGGGATCCTGCTTCTCCCTCTCCCCCTACTCGTGTTCTTGCTCGTTCTGCTCTCTCTCTCTCTCAAGTAAATAAATTAATTAAAAAAAAATAAAGTACTTGATAACTCTCTCTTTCCTCTGCTCCCCTCTCTTTAGCCCAGTATTTTGACAGTCCAGAACCAAATCTCCTATCAGCAGCTCCAAGTTCCTCCCTGCCAGTAAAACTGAGCATACTGCAAATCAATTTGCTGCACCAGAAGGAAGCATGGCTCAAGAGTGGTCCAAACACTATATCCAGAAACCTCCATAGACTCAAGCTTTGCATAAGCCACAGCCCCAGGCAGTCACTGGTAGTAAGCCTCCAGTCTCCCCAGCTAAATAGAGAAGTCCTGTTGTTGCCCCTGGATTCAAACCAAATCTGACTTCATTGTTTTTGTTTTGTTTTGTTTTGTTTTGTTTTTTGCCCTTACCCCTTTACCTCATGGGATCCAAACACCCAGCAGATCCTTGGCTTCAACTTTTACCACTTTATACTGCTATATCATTTCTGAATTACAGAAATTCTAATTTTAATTTTCTTCTCTTATATTGTATCCAGCATTAATAATAGCTTGGATGCAGAGATTAGAGTGCGGTCATGAAATACTCAAAAGAGGGAATTTATAATCCGTATTCTTTCTATTTTATATTTATTAAATAATATTTCTTATAGAATAAGGGAACTATTTTCATTACTATATGAGACAAAATCCAACTTCATTAATTTAATTGATACTTAAAGAAATAAAACTATGTACATAATGCTTCAAAAGCAAAAACATTATGCTTGAGAGACATAAAATCAAAAACATGTAAATGATCACTTAACTCTTGTTATCTAGTGGTTAAAAAAACTCCTAAAACACAACAGCTTAGTTAAAATAAAAATGATAACCAAACATAACAAAGATTCAGAAAGAATCTTCGGACAGACTTGATGGTCTGTAGCAGGAAAAAAAGGTAGGAGTGAAAGGAAATCTAATTAAAGGTACATTTGTATTTCAACATTTACCATTAAATACTCCAAATTTTAAATAGGTGAGTGAGTGAGTTTGTGTGTCTATCTGTATGTCTGTATGGAGAGGAAACAGGTCTACAGGGAATGGAAATGTAGCTGGAATTTCAAATCTTTTGGTCTAAGCCATTATTAAATGTGAGTAAAACAAAAAATGCAAAATTAGAGCAAAATATTTTTATCTGTTTTGTTCAAAGATGCATCCTAAATTCCTAGTTCCTGGCACAAAGAGATACTCAAAACTAATTGTTGATCAATCAATAGTATGTGGTTGACATAGTGTATCTTGATTTCATCAACCTAAGTAACAAGGCTCTTGTTACTTAGGGAACAATTAAAGAAATAAGACTGATTAACATAACATAATAAAATAAAATTTAAAAAAAATAATACTGAATAACAAGTACAATTAGGTAAACTAATCATTATTTCATGATCTTTCTCAATGTTCATTTATTAGTGAATTGAAGTGATATGAATTGAAATGAAAATAAAATAACAGCTTCAGACAATCTAATTCCAGGACAGACAGGAAGAATGCCAACTACAGTCATCCATGTGGAAAAGCTGATATGATCCATCTAGAGGCACCTTCTCTAACAGGGGGTCATTAGCTACATGAGTTGCCTTCTATTTTAACAGGCGGCTCCTTACATAATCCAGGGAAACCAGTCAAAATTCTATTTTCCCTTTCCCTTTTACTTCACCTGGAGACCTCCTCTGGGTTGTCTGGCAACCCAAATGGATTTCACTGATGTGAACCCAGAGCTCAATGCCTCCAAAAGCAATGTGTACATAGTAAGCTATACTCAGGTAGCAGGCAGAGGAGGTGAAATGTCATCTTTGTCTCCATCTTTCCTAGCTCTCCCCATAAACCACGAAGTCATTCTAGCTAACTTTCTCCCCAGTATCAATCATGCTAGGTCAAAGTACATAATCTGATCAAAAGAACAAAGACTGGTAAGAATTACAATTTGGACAAGCTAGAAATATTTTCATTTTATTTTACTATTTATTCAATTACTAAGCAAAGGAGATCAAGCACATTTAGAGATGCAGGTGAATTCTGCTTTCATGCTTCTCACAAAGTCAAGACCAGATTTAGTGAAGGATCCATATCCATATACCCAAGGATGCCAGAACTACTAATTTTCTGGTTTCATTCTCTTTTAGACAGGAAACATCAGTCCACCACACTAGTTTTTGGAAGCAGGGCGGGAGAGGACTGCATCGGAAAGCAATCTTTTCTCTTTGGGAGTCCTTGAGGAATCTCTTACCTATGGTTCATCTGATATAAGTGATGATTCCCCCGTGTTACTTAGTCATAACTGACTCCTGCCTCGGCCACTGATTCCCCATGTTTCACTCTCCTCCGGGGTCCCCTCACTCCAGGAGGGTCTTTGGAAGAAGCCCCACTCAAGGAGGACCAATCCAGCTTCCTTTCAGTTAGTGTACATCTAGCCCATAAGAAATAACACAAGAACTAATGGCCAGGTTTAGGATTGATAACTTCATTTTGTAAGTTTCCTTTTAAAAGTTGTTTTATTTTTATTAAAATAGCATGTGCACATATTTTACAAATCAAGTAGTGCTAAAAAGCTTAAAACAAAAACGGCAGTTCCCTTATGCCCTCTACCCTTTATCTACTACTCACTCCCACTCCTCAGAGACATCCACTTTCAAATCTCTTAACTTGTAATGTGGGCACTGAGCATGTTTCCAGCTAATAGATGCACAAATTTTTACAGGATTAGGTTGTTATCATTGGGTTGGTTGGTTGTTTCAGTCTGAAGAAGCCAAAGTTGGCAGTAAGATAAAGCGATTAGCTATTTTTTAGGGGTTCCCTGGGATTTGCTTGTACTTTCAGTTAACTCTCCAACAGTTTCTCATAAGATGACAGGTTATCTCACAAAGAGATCAAATTACAAACCTATTAAGAAAAAACTGAAAAACAAGAGTACGTTCTGGCAAAAAGCTCAATGTTTGACTGTGGCAAGTGCTACTATTAGGTTTTCAAATAAACGCATTCCGTGATTATTCTGGGTACCAAGAAAATTAATGTTGTTCCCATGCATATATTTGCAAATGTATTTCAAAATAACTTTCAAAAACTAATGTAGTCATGCTTACAATACTTAAGAGAAACATACATAACAGTACGGTTAAACCAGGGTGTTTTACTGGTGAGCAAATCTTACACTTCACCAAATTAAATAAATATTTTATTTTAAAAGGTCAGTGTATCCTCTGGTACGAAGACATACACATTAAAGATTGTAAAAGTCAAAGAAGCAAAAAAAAAATACATGAAAATCGTAATCAAAACAATCATTCTTACCCACCATGCAAATGTAAAAGTATGTGCCCCACATGGTCATTTGTTCTGCTGATTACATATGCAATGCCCTTTGTGGATCCTGGAATGAAATGATGTGGTTCTCAATATTACTGGTATACATATATTCCAGAGATTACACTTCAGAGACAGCTCTAGGCCTGAAAAAAATTATGTTATTAGGTCCCATTCTAGTTACAGTATATCAATTAAACATTTTCAAGAAGACAGTTACTTCATGCATATTTTCAGCTACTTCTCTCAGTACAGAAAGAAGATGAAATTTGATAGGTGATAAGGAATATTCACTCAACAACTTTAGATAATTTTTTTAGAGTGATTCTTCTTTTTGTTATTTTATAGCCTTTTTTCTGAAATAGAGACTAATTCCTGAAGCAGGGTCCTGGAGAAGACTGAAGAGGACAAATTCAGGGAGTAAACAGAAGAATCTGCCTCAGTCTCTCAGAGGTGACAAACACCTCATTCTCTGGAAATGTGTGAAAATAGAATTCGTGGGATATGGGTCAATTGGAGCATAGTCTGTAAGGGTAGGAGAGCTGGGAGGTGAGACATCTTGCCTGGTTTCTCAGTAAGGATGAGGGTGGGACCCATGCATGAGGAGGGTGAGGGAGGTTTGGAACCGTCACTGAGGGAAAGAGGAAGGATGCTCATCAAGGACAAGGGAGGAAAAGTCAGCCAGCCCATGAAATTTTTATTATTGAGGCCTAGAAGTAGCAGCTTTAAGTGCAAGGCTTGCTTCCTGGCCAGAAAGAAGAGAATGGATTTTGGTGGACTACCGTATCCGTCTCGGCAGCACTGAGACTACCTGAGGTATCCTCTGCAAGCTGCATGGCTTTGCCCACACCCCCTCACTCATTCCTCTTCTATCTGACACACATCCAAACTCAATTTTAAAAGTTCCTCTTTTTATGAAGACATTATAGACTTACTGAAGCTGACAGGAATCCTAGAAATTCTCTCAGCCAATTTCCTCATTTTGTGGATGAGAAAATGGTAAATCACATAGATAAACGATTTTCTGGTGTTGTGGCATAGCCTATAAACGGTGGAGTTGGACTGACCCAGGTCACTGCTGCTTCCACACAAATCCCATGTAACCATGATTAAAAGGAAAAGGATACTATGTTTGTGATCATTACAAATAGTTATAGCAAAATTAAAGAAAAGACTTGTGCTTTGGAAATTAAACATTATATCTAGTAAAGAAAAAAGTATTCTTGTTGAAGATAATAGTATGGTACAAATATATATTGTAATTAATTTTATATGAAATGCATAAAATAAATGAGGACAGGGGAATAATTTGAATTGATGATTATTTCTAGTATCAGGAGCTTCTCTGAGTCCTAAAATGTGCGCCACATTCAAGAACTGCAAAACACTCAAGGCTATGCCATGCTTTTGGAAGATGTACAGTGCCCTCTGCAGCTTCAGCAGAAATAAACACAGTTTGGGCGGGGGGCGGGGGGAGGAACAGTAATTTAAACATCAACATGGAAGTGTGTGCAATTAACACGCCTCAAAAATTCACCTTACCTTCCAAAACTGAATGAAAATATATATGTAAAGATCACATTTTTAGCAAAGGGCACCACAGCATGTACAGCAGGTATTTTTGTAAAAAGATACGCAATATACGAAAAGAAATATATGTGCACATCTATAGATTAATTTGAGGATAACACTCTAGGAAATGGCAAAATTGCCTTTGGGATGACAATGGCACCCTGGGGATCAGATGTGCCAAGAAGGTTTATTTTTCACTGTGATTCTTCATGTACTACTTAAATGTTTTCATCATGTGCATGTATTAAACTTCCAGGTAAGAAAAAAATTAATCAATAAATGTTCTAAGTACCTTTTAGAAAGGATATGCATCCAAATCTTAAGCCACTCTCTCCAGAAGTTCTATAACTTCAGACAAGTTGTTCAATCTGTTAAAAAACAAATAAACAAACAAAAAGATCCAAAATAAAGTTATTTATGCCAAGCCTCACATCACCAAACTGAGACTTAATTACTGTTTCAGCTCTCCCAGAAATGGACTCCGTCAATCAGGAATCACCCAATCTGCACGAGTTCGGTAATATACTTGATAAACCCCTCCTATCCCTAAAGGAAAGAAACTTTTTAATAACTGACCTGCTTTTTTTTTGCCTAGTATGACTTTCTTATTCTCACTCCTTTCTGCCTATAAAAGTCTCATTTTGTACACCTCCTTGGGGCTCCTTTCTGTTACATTGAATGCTGCCCAATTCGAATCAATTTTTGCTCAAATAAACTTAAAATTTTTAATATGCCTCAGTTTATCTTTTAACAAATCTCTTTGCCTTCCCTGAACACTCAAATTAAAACATAGCTTCCTTCACTGTTTTATCTTGTTAGATACAGCCTAGCATCTTCACAATTTAAAGTAGTCTATACTAGTTAACCAAAACCAATCCTGGATGAGTAGACTATTTTACATAGAGTTTGTATCTATTAATTAATTTCTTAAAGTTGAGAGAAACAATATTCATTAATTAACATATTAATGATTATGAAATAGTATACAATGAAAGGTAGGTCTATTTTCTAACACACTCCTCCCCTCCAAGATTAGTTGTCCTCTGTGCAGCTTTCCAGAAATTATCTTAATAAGTACTTATGAAGTGATTGAATAAGCAATTTTTATTTTATTTTATTATGTTAATCACCATACATTACATCATTAGTTTTTGATGTAGTGATCCATGATTCATTGTTTGCGTATAACACCCAGTGCTCCATTCAGTACGTGCCCTCTTTAATACCCATCACCAGGCTAACCCATCCCCCTACCCCCATCCCCTCTAGAACCCTCAGTTTGTTTCTCAGAGTCCATAGTCTCTCATGGTTCGTCTCCCCCTCCGATTTCCCCCCCTTCATTTTTCCCTTCCTGCTATCTTCCTTTTTTTAATATATAATGTATTAGTTTCAGAGGTACAGGTCTATGATTCAACAGTCCTACACAATTCACAAAACACACCATAGCACATACCTTCCCCAATGTCTATCACCCAGCCACCCCCATCCCTCCCACCTCCCACCCCTCCAGCAACCCTCAGTTTATTTCTTGAGATTAATAATTCCTCATATCAGTGAGATCATATGATACATGACTTTCTCTGTTTGACTTATTTCGCTTACCATAATACCCTCCAGTTCCATCCACGTCGTTGGAAATGTCAAGATTTCGTTCCTTTTGATGGCTGCATAATATTCCATTGTATATATATACCACTTCTTCTTTATCCATTCATCTGTCGATGGACATCTTGGCTCTTTCCATAGTTTGGCTAATGTGGACATTCCTGCTATAAACATCAGGGTGCACATACCCCTTCAGATCCCTACATTTGTATCTTTAGGGTAAATACCCAGTAGTGCAATTGCTGGGTCATAGGGCAGCTCTATTTTCAACTTTTTGAGGAACCTCCATACTGTTTTCCAGAGTGGCTGCACCAGCTTGCATTCCCACCAACAGTGTAGGAGGGTTCCCCTTTCTCCATATCCCCACCAACATCTGTTGTTTCCTGACTTGTTAATTTTAGCCATTCTGACTGGTGTGAGGTGGTATCTCATTGAGGTTTTGATTGGGATTTCTGTGATGCCGAGCGATGTTGAGCACTTTTTCATGTGTCTGTTGGCCATTTGGATGTCTTCTTTGAAAAAATGTCTGTTCATGTCTTCTGCCCATTTCTTGATTGGATCATTTGTTCTTTGGCTGTGGGTTTGATGAGTTCTTCATAGATTTTGGATACTAGCCTTTTATCTGATATATTTGCAAATATCTTCTCCCATTCTGTCAGTTGTCTTTTGGTTTTGTTGACTGTTTCTTTGCTTTGCAAAAGCTTTTTATCTTGATGAAGTCCCAATAGTTCATTTTTGCCCTTGCTTCCCTTGCCTTTGGTGATGTTTCTAGGAAGAAGTTGCTGCGGCTGAGGTTGAAGAGGTTGCTGCCTGTGTTATCCTCAAGGTTTTTGATGGATTCTTGTCTCACATTTAGGTCTTTCAACCATTTTGAGTCTATTTTTGTGTGTGGTGTAAGGAAATGGTCCAGTTTCATTCTTCTGCATGTGGCTGTCCAATTTTCCCAACACCATTTGTTGAAGAGACTGTCTTTTTTCCACTGGACATTCCTTCCTGCTTTGTCGAAGGTAAGTTGACTATAGAGTTGAGAGTCCATTTCTGGGCTCTATGTTCTGTTCCATTGATCTATGTGTCTGTTTTTGTGCCAGTACCATACTGTCTTGATGATTACAGCTTTGTAATAGAGCTTGAAGTCCGGAATTGTGATGCCACCAGCTTTGCTTTTCTTTTTTAACATTCCGCTGGCTATTCGGGGTCTTTTCTGGTTCCATACAAATTTTAGGATTATTTGTTCCAATTCTTTGAAAAAAGTGGATGGCATTTTGATAGGGATTGCTTTCAATGTGTAGATTGCTCTAGGTAGCATTGACATCTTCACAATATTTGTTCTTCCAATCCATGAGTATGGAATGTTTTTCCATTTCTTTGTGTCTTCCTCATTTTCTTTCATGAGTATATAGAAGTTTTCTGAATACAGATTCTTTGACTCTTTGGTTAGATTTATTCCTAGGTATCTTATGGTTTTGGGTGCAATTGTAAATGGGATTGACTCCTTAATTTCTCTTTCTTCTGTCTTGATGGTGTATAGGAATGCCACTGATTTCTGTGCATTGATATTATATCCTGCCACTTTCCTGAATTCCTGTATGAGTTCTAGCAGTTTTGGGGTGGAGTCTTTTGGGTTCTCCACATAAAGTATCATATCATCTGCAAAGAGTGAGAGTTCGACTTCTTCTTTGCCAATTCAGATGCCTTTTATTTCTTTTTGTTGTCTGATTGCTGTGGCTAGGACTTCCAAAACTATGTTGAATAGCAGTGGTGATAGTGGACGTCCCTGCCGTGTTTCTGACCTTAGGGGGAAAGCTCTCAGTTTTTCCCCATTGAGAATGATATTAACTGTGGGTTTTTCATAGATGGCTTTTATGAGATTGAGGTATGTACCCTTTATTCCTATACTCTGAAGAGCTTTGATCAAGAAAGGATGCTGTACTTTGTCAAATGCTTTTTCTGCATCTATTGAGAGGATCATATGGTTCTTGTTCTTTCTTTTATTAATGTATTGCATCATATTGATTGATTTGCGGATGTTGAACCAACCTTGCAGCCCAAGGATAAACCCCACTTGGTCTTGGTGCATAATCCTTTTAATGTACTGTTGGATCCTATTGGCTAGTATTTTGGTGAGAATTTTTGCATCCATGTTCATCAAGGATATTGGTCTGTAATTCTCCTTTTTGATGGGGTCTTTGTCTGGTTTTGGGATCAAGGTAATGCTGGCCTCATAAAACAAGTTTGGAAGTTTTCCTTCCATTTCTATTTTTTGGAACAGTTTCAGAAAAATAGGTATTAATTCTTCTTGAAATGTTTGGTAGAATTCCCCTGGGAAGCCATCTGACCCTGGGCTTTTGTTTATTGGGAGATTTTTGATGACTGCTTCAATTTCCTTAGTGGTTATAGGTCTGTTCAGGTTTTCTATTTCTTCCTGGTTCAGTTTTGGTAGTTGATACATCTCTAGGAATGCATCCATTTCTTCCAGATTATCTAATTTGCTGGCATATAGGTGCTCATAATATGTTCTTGTAATTGTTTGTATTTCTTTGGTGTTGGTTGTTATCTCTCCTCTTTCATTCATGATTTTATTTATCTGGGTCATTTCTCTTTTCTTTTTGATAACTCTGGCCAGGGGTTTATCAATCTTGTTAATTCTTTCAAAGAACCAGCTCCTAGTTTCATTGATTTGTTCTACTGTTCTTTTGGTTTGTATTTCATTGATTTCTGCTCTGATCTTTATTATTTCTCTTCTCCTGCTGAGTTTAGGCTTTATTTGCTGTTCTTTCTCCAGCTCCTTTAGGTGTAGGGTTAGGTTGTGTATTTGAGACCTTTCTTGTTTCTTGAGAAAGGCTTGTACTGCTATATACTTTCCTCTCAGGACCACCTTTGCTGCATCCCAAAGATTTTGAACAGTTGTGTTTTCATTTTCATTTGTTTCTATGAATTTTTTAAATTCTTCTTTAATTTCCTGGTTGACCCATTCATTCTTCAGTAGGATGCTCTTTAGCCTCCATGTATTTGAGTTCTTTCCGACTTTCCTCTTGTGATTGAGTTCTAGATTCAAAGCATTGTGGTCTGAAAATAGGCAGGGAATGATCCCAATCTTTTGGTACAGGTTGAGACCTGATTTGTGACCTAGGATGTGATCTATTCTGGAGAATGTTCCATGGGCACTAGAGAAGAATGTGTATTCTGTTGCTTTGGGATGGAATGTTCTGAATGTATCTGTGAAGTCTATTTGGTCCAGTGTGTCATTTAAAGTCTTTATTTCCTTGTTGATCTTTTGCTTAGTGATCTGTCCCTTTCAGTGAGGGGGATGTTAAAGTCCCCCACTATTACTGTATTGTTTTCAATGTGTTTCTTTGCTTTTGTTATTAATTGGCTTATATAATTGGCTGCTGCCATGTTAGGGGCATAGATATTTACAATTATTATATCTTCTTGTCAGATAGACCCTCTAAGTAGGATATAGTGTCCTTCCTCATCTCTTATTACAGTCTTTGGTTTAAAATCTAATTTGTCTGTTATAAGAATTGCCACCCCACCTTTCTTTTGGTGTCCATTAGCATGGTAAATGGTTTTTCACCCCCTCACTTTCAATCTGGGGGTGTCTTTGGGTCTAAAATGAGTCTCTTGCCAACAGCGTGTCGATGGGTCTTGTTTTTTAATCCAATCTGATAGCCTGTGTCTTTTGATTGAGGCATTTAGCCCATTTACATTCAGGGTAACTATTGAAAGATAGGAATTTAGTGCCATTGTAAGGCCTGTAAGGTGACTGTTACTGTATATAGTCTGTGTTCCTCTCTGGTCTATGTTACTTTTAGGCTCTCTTTACTTAGAGGACCCCTTTCAATATTTCTTGTAGGGCTTGTTTCCTGTTTGTAAATTCCTTTAGTTTTTGTTTGTCCTGGAAGCTTTTTATCTCCTTCTATTTTCAATGACAGCCTAGCTGGATATAGTATTCTTAGCTGCATATTTTTCTCGTTTAGTGCTCTGAATATATCATGCCAGTCCTTTCTGGCCTGCCAGGTTTCTGTGGATAGGTCTGTTGCCAATCTAATGTTTCTACCATTGTAGGTTACAGATCTCTTCTCCTGAGCTGCTTTCAGGATTTTCTTTTTGTCTCTGAGACTTGTAAGTTTTACTATTAGATGTCGGGGTATCGACCTATTTTTATTGATTTTGAGAGGGGTTCTCTGTGCCTCCTGGATTTTGATGCCTGTTTCCTTCCCCAAATTAGGTAAGTTCTCTGCTATAATTTGCTCCAATATACCTTCTGCCCCTCTCTTTCTTCTCCTTCTGGGATCCCAATTATTCTAATATTGTTTTGTCTTATGGTATCACTTATCTCTTGAATTCTGCCCTCATAATCCAGTAGTTGTTTATTTCTCTTTTTCTCAGCTTCTTTATTTTCCATCATTTGGTCTTCTGTATCACTAATTTTCTCTTCTGCCTCATTTATCCTAGCAGTTAGAGCCTCCATTTCTGATTGCACCTCATTAATAGCCTTTTTTATTTTGACTTGGTTAGATTTTAGTTCTTTTATTTCCCCAGAAAGTGTTTCTCTAATATCTTCAATGCTTTTTTCAAGCTCAGCTAGTATCTTTAAAATCATCATTCTGAACTCTAGTTCCAACATCTTACTAATGTCCATATTGATTAGGTCCCTGGCAGTCAGTACTGCCTCTTGTTCTTTTTGTTGAGGTGATTTTTTCCATCTTGTCATTTTGTCCAGAGAACAGATGAATGAGAGAACAAAATGCTAACAGGGTAACAACAACCCCAGAAAAATATACACTAAACAAATCAGAAGAGACCTGAAACCTGGGGAAAAGAAAGGGAAAGAAAGAAAAAAAAAAAGATAAACAAACAAACAAACAACAACAAAAAACAGAATATTATCAAATATGATCAGGCTGGTGCATAGATCAGTGCTACATACTAGATTTGGGGCATATTTTGGTCTGTTAGAAGAAAGTGCCACCCAAAATTTTAAAGAAAGAAAAGCTTATATATGTACAAAAATGAGGGTAAATACAATGAAGGGATGGAATATGAGTGTAAAGTTGAAAATTATTAAAAATTTTATAAAAGGAATTGATAAGATAGGAAGTTGGTTGAAAAAAGAAAGAAGAGAAATTTAAAAAAAAGGGGGGGGGGAGAGAATGTTATCAGGCAGGAAACTAGAACAAAGCCATACACTAGAGATTTAGGGTATATTTTGGTCTGTTAGAAGAAACTGTATCCCAAAATTTTTAAAGAGAGAACATTATATATATATATATATATATATATATATATATATATATATATATATATACCAAAAATAAGGTTAACTACTATGAAGGGATAGAATATGACTCTAAAAATGAAAAACAAAAAAGATATTTTAAAAAAGGGATTGATAAGATGTTGGTTGAAAAAGGGAAAAGAAAAATTAAAAAAAAAAAGTCAAAAAAAATTAACTTTGAAAGACTAAAGAATCATGGGAAAAAAGCCATGAATTCTATGTGCAGTATTCCCCTAGAGCTGGAGTTCCGCCATTCTCATTGATCGGTAAACTTGGTCTTGGCTGGCTGTTCTCGCTGTTCTTCTAGGGGAGGGCCCTGTTGCTGTGGTTCCCAAATGTCTTTGCCGGAGGCAGAATTGTCCCGCCCTTGCTGGGTCCGGGCTAAGTAATCTGCTTGGGTTTGCTCTCAGGAGCTTTTGTTCCCTGCGAGCTTTCCATACAGCTTTGGAGGACAAGAGTGAGAATGGCAGCCTCCCAATCTCTGCCCTGGAGGAGCCAAGAACTTGTGGCCCCACTCCTCAGTGAGCCCCCAGAGAAAAGCAGTCAGTCACTGGTGTTCCCCGGTCTCCGGCCGCACTCCATGCTCACCTGGCCTGTGACTGAGCATTTCTATCTCTGGCACCTGACTCGGTGTGGAGTCTCCAAACCCAGCAGATCCCTGCAGTGCGTTCCTGCACCACTCCTCCTGGGGGGAGGAAGGGGAGTCTCCCCGGATCTGCCACTTGTTGGGTCCCTGCTGGAGGAGCAGTGGCCCGACTGTGCCGCGGATCAAGGTTTATGGCAACCCCAAGCTGAGAGCCTGCGCCTGGGCTCCGCCTCTGCAGCCGGCTTCCCTGCTCCGTTACCTGGGAGCTCTGCCGCACTCAGGCACCCCCGGTCTTTCTGTGACCCCGAGGGTCCTGAAACCACACTGTCCCGCAAGGGTTCCACACACCCCCCCCTTAGCCACTGAAGCGACATCCCTCAGTGGAGCTGACTTCTAAAAGTTCTGATTCTGTGCTCGGCGGCTCTATCACCTGCCAGAAGTGGCCAATGGAGGCCCCCTCCCCCGCCATCTATCCTCCCGAATATCGCCTCAGATTCACTTCTCCACACGTCCTACCTTCCAGAAAGTGGTTGCTTCTCTGTTCAGACAGTTGCTGCTATTCTTTTCTTCAATCTCCTGTTGAGTTCGTAGGTGTTCAGAATGGTTTGATCCCTACCCAGCTGAATTCCTGAGACCAGATGAAATCCAGGTCTCCTACTCCTCCGCCATCTTGCTCCTCCCCCTCCTGAATAAGCAATTTTGTAATTGAATGTTTCCTAGACACTAAATCTCTTTCTAGGTAGAGGGGGTAAGTGATAAACAAAAAAGAAGTTGCTAACCTCATAGAGCTGACACTCTAGTGGGAGGAGACAAATAATACGTACATAAATTGATACATACATACATACCATTTCTGAAAGTTGTAAGTCATCTTTTAAAAGAAGAGTAAAGAAAGAAGTTGCAGACAAGAGAGTTGCTATTTTATAGAGAGAGAGAGAGTTCTGAGAAGGTGAGCTCTGAGCAGATACCACATTTAACTATGGAAGAAGGAAAACATGGATATCTACGGTAAGAGCCTACCAGGCAGAGAACAGCCAGTGCAAAGGCCTTTAGATGGTGCCTGTCCAGTATTTAAGAAACTGTCAAGAGACCACTGTGGCTGTAGTGGAGACAGCAAAGGAAGAGAGTAGTAGAGGGTAAGGCCAGATGGATAACAAGGGACAATATCATGTCAGGGAAACGGCTGAGACTAGGGTCTTATTTTGAGAAAAATCAGGGTTGGGGGTGGCACTGGGGGTCTTAAGAGAAATTAATATGACCTAACATATCTTTAAAGATTCACTCAAATTGCTGTGTTGTGAATAAACTGGTAGTGGGGTGGGCATAGGTAGACACATGGAGATGAGTTCGGTGAGAGATAAGGGTATTTTGGACCTGATAGGTAGCAGAAGTTGTGATAAATGGTCATATTCTAGAATATTCTCAAGGTAGCCCCAACAGAATTTTCAGGCACACCAAATTTGAGAGAAAAGAGGTAGTTGTCTGGGTAACTGGAAGGGTGGACTTGCCATCAACTGAGAGGTGGAAAACTGCAGATCCACTAGGTTTTGAGGAGAAGATCACGAATTTGGTATTAGACATTTTAAGTTTGCAATATCTGTTAGATATCCAAGATGGAAGAAATTAAGGCATATGTTTGCTAAAGACCAGTCTATTAGAGAAGGGGACATGAGGACATCAGACAGAGAGAAGTTAAGCAGGAAGGGGCAGGATCTAATGCAAACATGGAGAAATTTTCAGAGTGGAGGACAGACAGTTGTTACAATCTGGAAGATGAGGTAAATGGGCACAGACAAGTAGGTGGGTAACCAGGTTGGCAGGAATCAGTGTAAAGTTTCTGCTAGCTGCTTCTATTTTCATAGTGAAGTAGAAAAGAAAATCTTGTTTCAGTAAATTAGTGAATCCCTTTCTATTCTCCTGCTTAAAACCTTCCATCGACTTTCCCTCACCATTGGAATAACAGCCAAACATTTTATCACAGCCCACAAGGCCGCACAGGACCTGGCTCTCACCCACTTCTCTCCATTGCCTAAAATGTTTCAGCCACAGGGGTCTTATTTTCATGCCTCAGACATGTACAAGACAAACTCAGACAAGCCTTGGGTTCTCTGACTGGGACCCTCTGTCTGGGACAAGTAAAAGAGGTACCCTACCCTCCCAAGTTTGGTTAATTCTTATCATATAGGTCTCACCTCAGGAGTCCCCTCCTCAGGCCTTTCTTGAGCATCCCATCTAAAGTGGCACCTCCTCTTATCAAAAGTTATTTTACGTACATGTTATTGTCCACTTCTTCCCACAAATGTGTTTCATGAGAAACTAGCACCCCCAGCCCACCCCTACTTTCTCGTTCTCTCTCCTCGACCTGCTGTTAACTTTTCTTCTCAATACTCATCACCACTGTATATTTGGGCGTTATCCATGTCCCATAAGAGAGTAATAGCTACATCTGGCACACGGTAGGTGCTCATGAGTATTTCCTGATGATCATATTTTATAAAATTAAATGAAAAAATGCATGTAGAGCATACAACAGAGCAGTTGGCACGTAGTAAATCTCAATAAATGTTAGCTGCTACGATGATGACAACAAAGACTAGCATGGCAATAATCACAAGCACAACTATGAAAGGCAAATCCTCTGTGCCCTTGAACCCATCCCCTTTCTGTTGTCAGAGACTTTCTCTCATTAACTGTACGTTCCTTCTTCCTCTTTACAAGCTCCTTCCCTTCCACTAAATATGTGCAATATTTTACTACCATTTTTAAGAAATCAGTCAAAAATATACTTTTCTTAACACTGTCTTATCTAATTAGGCACAGCCAAGTATCATCTCAGTGTAGCCATAAAAAAGGAGTAGTCTATACTAGCTCACAGCTGGTTAAGCAAATCTTGAATGATCAAACTCATTGTTATTTACTGTTTTTTTCTATTAACTAGTTTCTTCAAGTTGAACAAAACTACTTAATATTTGCATGGTTAAAATATTAATAGTTATAAAATGCTATACAATGGAAGGTAAATCTATTAATCTAACTCAGTCCTCCCACTCCAAGGAAATCAGGTATATTCTGTGTATCTTTCCAGAAATTATGTATGCATATCCAGACATATAAATATCTTTTGAAATATCAAACAGGATCATATTGTGCACACAATTCCACACCTTGGGTTTCTTTCAGTTAATGAAACACTTTGAATGGCTTTCTAAAGTTCACATTAAGAGCTATATTATTCTTTGTACTGGCTACCTATCATTTCATTGTACTGATAAAATGCCATCTATTTAACTAGTCTCATATTTATTATTTGTCAGCATTTAACATGTTTTCAGCCATTTGCTATTGTAAACAATGCTGCAACCCATATACATATATCCTTGCACAGTCCTTCAAATATGTGTAAATAAAATCTTAAAAGCAGAATTGCCTGCATAAAAGGCACGGGCCTTCAGTTTTTTACTGATATTGCCAAATTACCTTCTAAAATAGTTTTATTAAATCACCAGAATTTTCTACTCCTCTAAATAATAAAGTTATTAGTAACTGCAGATTTTTGGTGAGGGAAAGGGAATAATTCCTGAAGCTCCTTAAATCAACTAAGAAAGGGAATGAAATCACTCCTAAAGAAAATGTTAACACTTTACCATGATACATATTTTTAAAAAAGGAAACAGCGCTATTTCTGGGAAAGCATTATTTTCCCACTTTTGCTAATAAAAGTTCACCTCACTACTCAGAGTTTTTCCAGTCCTCAGTAATTCTTTTTCTAAAACAACCTCTTAGGAACTCACAGCCAACGGAAACAGGGGTTGAAAGGAAAAGGAAAACATAAAACTCAGTTTCTAAGGAGCACAACAAGATTCTTAAGTTTCCGAGCAGTGCAGTGACTTTAAATTCTTACCGTTAGAGATGTTTTTAATTAAAAAAAAAAAAAAAAAACTGTTAGTGGCTTCTTTAAAGGTTTCAACTCTTGCTGGTGAAAAAAAACAGTTCTCTGCCTTATTTTTCCTACAGATTGCCAACTCTTTTAGGGTGAGGTGGAGGACGCAGTTTGTAAACGGCTGCCTGCATTGCAGGCGCTTGCAGCGGATAATAGTTGTCAGAACAGCCGCGCTCCGCCTGCATCCCGCAGCCGCTCTCTGTGCCTCCCTACCCGGCTCTCCTCCGCATCCTTTAACCTCCCCCCTTTATCTGTGGACGCGCCGCCGGCCTCGCGCCCCCGCGCTGCGCTCAGTGGAACAATCCGTGACGTCATGAGGCCGCGGCTCAATCGGACGCGGCGCTTGGGAAATTTTAAACTTAAAGGCGGGGCGGCCCGTGCGCTCTGAGGCCGGGAAGAAGGTAGAGCGTCTGCGCCAGTTCTCTGCGGTCTAGCCTGGCAGGATGGCAGAGGAAGGGGCTGTCGCGGTCTGCGTGCGGGTCCGGCCGCTCAACAACAGGTAGGTAGGCCAGACCGAGACCAGGACCCCGTGGGGCCTCCGGTCCGGGCCTGAGCCGGAGAGTCCCCGCTGCTCCTTCCCGGTTCCCCTGCTTGGTATCTCCGCCCCTTACCGGTTTTGTGTCCCTATCTGTAAGTGACGGAGAAGGATCGGAGGCTCTAGAAGATACTTTGCATATGTAGGAGTCTCTTAAACGTTTAACTCAGGCTGGCAAACGTTAAAGACCTTGACGCCGGCCCTGCACTGCCTTTCTCCATCTGAGCCCCCCCACCCCACCCCATTCCTTAAAGGAAGTCGTATCGGTAATTCTTACAGGCACTCATCACAGTCGGTCATTTTGCACTTAACTGCCTCTCCCTCTTCACTGTATATTCCTTGAGAGCAAGGACTAGTCTGTCTTGCTGCCTTGTATGCCTAGGCACTCAAGATTTCATTCAATGACTGAATTCAACATCCAGAACGTTGCATGGCTGATATTTATTAATCGTGATTTTTTTTTTTTTTTTTTAGTACAGTGTACAGTACTAAACAGACACTACCATCCTTGCCCCTGTCGGATCCACATTCTAGAGCAGACAGGAAAAAAAGTAAAAAATATAGAATGTTAAGTTGACATAATGTTACGGAAGTAATAAATGCTATAGAGAAAAAGCAGAAGGGGGAAGAAATGAAGTCTTTGCTTCTCTAGTCTCTAGCACTCACTCCAGAATACTAATATATTTTGTGTTTGAGAAATAATTGTTAAATATCACAAGGTGTTTAATAAATGACAATATCAAAATGAGGAATTTCCTATATTTAAAGGGCTCATTATCTAATGCATTAGAAGACAGTTACATAAACCATTACAATACATGGTAACAAGTGTTATGATAGGTGGAGAGTGTTTGCTAGAGGAGTCATTAACCCCTCTGAGATGACACCAGGGACAAGGCTGGTGTCAGAATGAAAGAATAGTTAAATTACTTAATGGAAAGGTAAGTCAAGGTATTCCAGACACAGAGGGGCTGCATTTCTTATTTTGAAAGAGACAGGTAGCCGTATGGAGTTAGATATATGTTGGAATTTAGAGCAAGATAACGTTGAAGAGAGAAATAAACATGATCCAAGTCTAGTGTGCCATATTAAGAATTTCAGATGGTTTTTTAAAGTTTTGAGCAAGAGGGACATAATCAGAGTTGCATTTTGAACGTATCTTTTCAGCAACCAGTACTGGGTAGGCGGGTGGAAATGAAGAACTTTACAAGGAAATTCCCATGAGAAGGCAGGAGATCACTGACCCCCCACTTAAAAGTGTTGACCCCTCAAAGGCAGATTTTCCAAATTTCTAATATATAGTATAAGTCAATATTGTCCTTTAAAATATTCTTCAGAAGATGGAATCTTTTATCTGTCATATAACATGACTTCCATGACCAGTTATACTAAAATGCAGTGTTTTTATTCTTTCAGAGAAGAAGCTCTTGGAGGAGATACCCAAGTTTACTGGAAAACTGACAATAATGCTATTTATCAAGTTGATGGCAGTAAATCCTTCAATTTTGGTAGGTTTATAATAGCATCAAAAATTAATCTGTTACCCTTTTCCTATTAGGAGTATAAAAGTCTTATCAATAATACTGGATTTGTCATTAAAGATCAGACTAAGCCTTCTATAAACTGCTTCAGTGGAAACTTTAAAAAATTGTTCATCCATCATGTATGATAAGTAAGATAATAAATTGATATTTAAAATGAAGTTATAGGGCGCCTGGGTGGCTCAGTTGGTTAAGCGACTGCCTTCGGCTCAGGTCATGATCCTGGAGTCCCGGGATCGAGTCCCTCATCGGGCTCCTTGCCCGGCGAGGAGTCTGCTTCTCCCTCTGACCCTCCCCCCCTCATGCTTTCTCTCTCTCTCAAATAAATAAATAAAATCTTTAAAAAAAAATAAAATAAAATGAAGTTATAGGGGCACCTGGGTGGCTCAGTCAGTTAAGCATCTGCCTTTGGCTCAGGTCATGATCCCGGAGTTCTGGGATCAAGCCCTACATCGGGCTCCCTGCTCAGCAGGGAGTCTTCTTGTCCCTCAGCAGGGTGCCCCTCACCTTGCTTGTGCTGTCTGTCTCTCTCTCAAATAAATAAATAAAATCTTAAAAAAAAAACCAAATAATAAATAAAATGAAGTTATAGTTATAGTGTCATATGGTTGAAACTAATACTTCTTCCTCTTATTCATTAGTTTATTTGTGGCCTAAAACCCCATAAGCCTAAAATATGTTGCTTAATGTCAAGTCATCTTTAAGATCTTTCTTTCAGGTTAGTATATATTTTCCACCATTATTTTTTTTTTTTATTTTATTATGGTGTGTTAATCACCATACATTACATCATTAGTTTTTGATATAGTGTTCCATGATTCATTGTTTGCGTATAACACCCAGTGCTCCATTCAGTATGTGCCCTCTTTAATACCCATCACCAGGCTAACGCATCTCCCCACCCCGCTCCCCTCTAGAACCCTCAGTTTGTTTCTCAGAGTCCATAGTCTCTCATGGTTCATCTTTTAAGAAAATTCTTTAAAGAATAAATAGTAAAGATATTCCTAGTTTGTGTGCTGGAATAGAGCAGAGACCTACCCCAGCTTTTGTGAAACTTACATGGTGAGAGAGCCTTTAAACGAGTAATCACATTTGTGTTGACATATGCTTTGTGAGAGTTTATAGCGGATCTAACTGGTCTATGTGTCTAAAAGGATACCAGTGACACTGGGACCTGCAGGATGAGTGAGAGCTAATTAGGACACAGGGACATGCAGACCCTAAAGGTTGACTAGGCTGATTTGTGTGTTGATTTAATATGGATGTACTGCTGACAATGTGCCAGACACAGTTCTAAGCATGTCATACAGATTAACTCATTAATCCTCCTAACAAGCTTATACTGTAGGTACCTTTCTATTTCATTGATGAACTGAAATAGGCCTGGAGTCATACAGCCAGCAAATGGAAGAGTCAAACTCCAAATCCAGCCACACTAGCATGCTGCCACTTAGGCACCTCAGGACAACAGTGAGGTCCTCTCCACAACTTGAGGAGTAAGAATGGCTAGGTTGTTGAACTAGCATTAAACTAGAAAGCCATCATAAAAGGTTTTGGAGCAAAGATCTATAGAAGAGGAAACAATTTCTGGTAAAGGACTGTTTTAGAGCATTAACATAAGTTTTAAAAAGGTAAAACAATATATCCCAGAGATTATAAAACCAAGAGTGAGGGATACACAAGCATTCAGACACATGATCTGTAGGTTCTCAGTAGCTATGTATGCCCATAGAAGATTTAGATTTATCCATCCATCTAAAGCAAATGGCATGAAGATTTGAATCATCCTACCATCTCTCCTTGCTCTGAAATCATAACCCCTAAGCAGCCTTCAGATGGCACTCTTGGTTCCATTTAGTTCTGCAAACAGAGCAGATGTATGGTCAGAATGCAAGCAGTCTGACCACTGAATTTCTTGTTGCAGGTGGATAAATTTCCTTCCTGATTTACAAATCCATTTCTTATGAGATTTTTACTATGAGGCCACCATTGAAAGAGTAGTCCATTTTTAATGTGCTAATTATGCTAACAAAAGCAGAGAACCACATCCTAGACTAGTGAACTCATCAGCACAAATGCTACTGTAAACCCAGCCTCCTTTAGCAGCCAGCCAGCTAGTCATTCCCTGTAACCTTTCAGCTTTGTTCAGGTCTCCTTTTCCATATATGTGCATTTCTTAGTTTGAGCTAGGCCTTCTTGTCAAATATGTTATAAACTTTAAAATTTCTCAAAGCATAGTAATAGTTCACATTTCCTAAGTATTAACCATATGTTCATGGTAATTCTATGAGGAAGAGAATACATATCCATTTTACAGATTAGGTAATTGAGGCACAGAGACATCAATCTCCTTGCCCAAAGTCACACAACTTATAAGTGGTAGAACCAGATTTGCAGATAGTCTGATTCTATACGTCTGAATTCAGCCACTATGCCCTACTGCCTCTTAAAAGCACATAGAATAGTTGAGAAGTCTGACTTGTATTTTTTCTTTGTGAGGACCAACACATCTCACCTTATAGAGAAGTATATTTTCAAAGGACCAATAAGTTGAAGAGAATATTGTGTCCTAAATATTTTATCTTACCATATCCTGACAATTTTATTTCTTTGGACAACTACTAAGAAAGAAAACAAAGTTCATTTGTTTGATTTAACCTCTGTGTTTATGTGTGTGGTTTTTTTTTAGATCGTGTCTTTCACAGTAATGAAACTACTAAAAATGTGTATGAAGAAATAGCAGTACCAATCATAGATTCTGCCATACAAGGCTACAATGGTTTGTATTCGCTGTAGAGATATTTTAGTATTGGTTCTCTTTTCAATTATTGATAGTTTTACACCCTATAGATTCATTTTTAATCTTTGCATGTGTGGGTGTTTTGTTTTTACAGGTACCATATTTGCCTATGGTCAGACTGCTTCAGGAAAAACATACACCATGATGGGTTCAGAGGATTATTTGGGAGTAATACCCAGGGCAATTCATGACATTTTCCAGAAAATTAAAAAGGTAAATACCTTCGTTAAATTTCTGGTACATACAGGTAAAAGTAGTAATAGTCTCTTGTAACAATGACAGAAAGTAGGTTTATAGTTATATCTTCATTAGCCATGGGTAAAGAAGGCATAACATAGATTAACTTTTTCCCTCACAGACTTACTTTGTAGAGCTTAAAGTTCTTTCAGTCTTCCCCTTGAATCCTGAAACAGCACTAATCACACCAAAAAGTGGGTGTTAAGGAACAGGAAAATCTTTCAAGACTGCTTAGCTCCTCCTTGCCTTTGTTTACCTACAAGTGATTATTAAGGAGCAGAGAAAAGTAGAGGTAGAGAAGAGGCCAGAATAAGCAACCTAACTAAGAGTTGGGTTTTTTTGTTTTTTTGTTTTTTTTAAAGATTTTATTTATCTATTTGACAGAGAGAGAGACAGCTAGAGAGGGAACACAAGCAGGGGGAGTGGGAGAGGGAGAAGCAGGCCTCCCGCCGAGCAGGGAGCCCGATGCGGGGCTCGATCCCAGGACCCCAGAATCATGACCTGAGCCGAAGGCAGGCGCTTAACGACTGAGCCAACCAGGCGCCCCAGAGTTGGTTTTAAGTTTATTTTTTCATTACTGTTTTAATGATTTTTAATGTCCTTATTTGACCATTCATTGGTAGGGTTTTATTTTGAGTTTAGAGAGTTGGACTGGGTGCTCTCCTCATTATTTGATACTATACTTTTCATTATTCCTGAAGCATATTTTTATATTTTGTGTTTATCATCAATATAAAACCATATGAGGTTTTGTTTCTTGTTTGCTTTGCAAAGATAATTTCTCAGAATATTTTAATATTTAATATTAGCACATAGGTATTCAATATTAGGTTTTCACAAATGGATGATCTCTGATGTTTTTACACTTTTTTTTTTCTTCCAGTTTCCTGACAGGGAATTTCTCTTACGTGTGTCTTACATGGAGATATATAATGAAACCATTACAGACTTACTCTGTGACACTCAAAAAATGAAGCCTTTAATAATTCGGGAAGACTTCAATGTGAGTAACAGAGTTGAAGTAGCTCTAAAAATAGACTTGCTTATTGGGGTTATTATTCTTGAACATTTCCCTTTAATTTCTATATTTTTCAAACTGTCTCCTGTTTGTATGGTTTATTTTTTCTTAAGTGTTTATAGAGACAGCATATGAGCAATATGTATAGTTCTTAAACATTGACAGCTATTATATTTTGGTATGAGTGCCTTAAAAAAGAGCAAGATGGAAGTATCAGGTTAGAATTTGCTGTGCTTTGGTATAGGAAATAAATTGTACATATTATAGGTTTACTTGTTATTTTCATACATTTTCCACTTGTAACTTCCACAAATGAATTCTGTAATAGTTGACACCTTCTTTTTGAGATTCACACTTTTTAGTGACTTCTTCTCTACTCTTCTCATAATTAAACTTGTTTCAGAGGAATGTGTATGTGGCTGATCTCACAGAAGAAGTTGTTTATACATCAGAAATGGCTTTGAAGTGGATCACAAAAGGAGAAAGTAAGACTTTATGCTGTATTTCCCCAAAACACTTGTAAAAACTACTCAGTTAAATGTATTTGGCTTCAAATCACACTTTTCACTCTTAAAAATAAAAGTTAATGTTTTTCTTTGGATTTTAATGTATACAGCTGAAATACGACTTACTTTTTACAGAGAATAGACATTATGGAATTACAAAAATGAATCAAAGAAGCAGTCGCTCTCATACTATTTTTAGGATGGTAGGTAACTCTCTGTTTGACCTTTCCAATTAAAAATGCACTAATTTGGGGAACCTGGGTGGCTCAGTCGTTAAGCGCCTGCCTTCAGCTCAGGTCATGATCTCAGGGTCCTGGGATGGAGCCCCACATCGGGCTCCCTGCTCAGCGGGAAGCCTGCTTCTCCCTCCCCAACTCCCCCTGCTTGTGTTCCCTCTCTTGCTATGTCTCTGTCTGTCAAATAAATAAATAAAATCTTAAAAAAAAAAAAAATGCACTAATTTTTTACAAGTTTTCTTTTCTGTCTAGATTTTGGAAAGTAGAGAGAAAGGGGAACCTTCCAATTTTGAAGGATCTGTCAAAGTGTCCCATTTGGTGAGTATTGATGGACCATGGTACTGTACTGTATGGGCCAAAGCATAATTTAATTTGGCTGCTGGATGTTTGGTTTCATAAGAATTGTTAACTGAACTAAACAGGCAAAATCATGTATAAATTGGTAGTTTAGTCTCATTTGTAGACATGAGATTACTAGCTAAAACATAGGAAGAATTCAGAGGGTCTTTCTTCCTGTTATGTTATGGTTGCCTCTCCTAAAATTTAGATGGAAGGACTTTTCCTAACCAGAGTTCTTGGGGGGGAGGCTTTCCATATGAATTTAAGAGTTAGAGTGTTCTTGGAATGGGGTGGGGGCCGTTCAGTTTTGTTATTGTTGTTTTTGTTTTGTCTCAGCCAATAGAATTGAGACCATGGGATCAACAAAAACTAGCTGGGACTGTTAAATAGTAAATCACATTATTCAAGTATATTCTTAAATATAATAAGGAAATGTTTTATATTATAAACATAGTGTTTTAGACTATAAATCCCTTGAAGGGAAGAGTGATATCTTACTCATCTTTATAGCCTCAACACATTATGCATAGTTTATGTTCAATACCTGTTTGTTAAATAGTGAATATATACATTATGCAAACTTTCCTTTCTCCACATAAATAAACCTCCCATTTCCTTCTTGCTGTACTATATCATTTCTCTCTCATTTTCTGTGCTTCCTTCCTGTTCCTTGCCAATATTCTCTGTCTTCACGGTCTAAATTTTTTAGCTTCATCTAGGATATGACTGAAGATTATCTATTTGATTTGAAAACTTCAGGGAAAAAATAATAAATCTATAATATGTTTTTTCACTTTCAGATTTGAAAAATCAGTCTTAATTAAATATCTAATTCAGTTCACCTCAGTTACTTTACTGTACCAGCATAAAATTTATTTTAGTATACTGGTCTTGCTTTGATTTAGCAACAACAAAAACACAAAACCTAACTTCTGTTTTGTTTTCTAAACCCAGTCTGTGATATTTCACTACAATTTTAACGTTTCTCTTAATAATTTAGTTTTAATACTCTTGACATATTCAGTGATCCATTTGGTGACTTTTTCCATATTCTTTGATGCTCTATCATCTAGGGACTATAGATACCATCTGGCTCAACCCTTCACCTTCCGACTTACTCTAAGTATCTTCTTGGAAAGAAGTCTTCCCCAAAAAAGTCATTTTCTGGCTCTTTGGAAGTGGCCTTTATTTATTATATTTTTTCAGTGTCTTTTGATCTTTCTGGTTCATAATATCTAGCTTCTTTCAGTTCTGCTCCTTCTCTATATCCTTTGTGGCTTCTTTTTCCTACCCTCCTATCAAAAACATAGGAGTGTTGTGGCCTTTCTTACTTCCTATGTTTGCCCCCAGACATTCTGTTATCATTTCTGTGTTGATGATAGTCAGACATTTATTTTATCTAGAGTCTCTGAGTTCTAATTCATGTCTTTGTAAAGGTGATTATAATTATGTGTCCCACTGTTATTTCAAACTTCATTGTGTCTAAAACAAAATTAATTTCTTCCTATCATAGTGAATATTCCTTCTTTCCAGTAGTACCAGTGTTATCCTGGTCACTTAGGTCAGACCCAAGTCAATTCTACCTCATCTTTTTCTGCCTTCCCCTTTTGTCCAGTCATTAATATTTCCTATTCAACATTCCCATGGGTGTCACACTCATTTAGGTTCTCATCTCTTGAATTACTGTATCATTCTCCTAGACCTGGCCCCAAGACTCTGGTCTTCCTTTCTGCAGTCTGTTTGCAGATTTCCAGTTTTTCTAATGTTACTAAGTACAGCTCGTGTTGTGTCTCCAACTTTAACCAACCTAACTTCACTTCCTTCTACTCCACGTGAGCTCCTCTCTTATAGATGCATTGGGCCTCTTGGTGTCTTTGAACACTGATACTTGTTCCCATCTTTATTCCTTAATTCATGCTGCCTTTCTCGCCATTTTGCCCCTTTATTATGTATCTAGGTCTTCTGTAATAAAGATACCATACAAGAAAGATTAGACTTTGAGTATTTTAGAGAAAGTAGTATCTAGATAGAACATAATTAAAGCAGGAGTACATAAGTACTGCCCATCCCTGAAAGTGTCCACAGAGGGACAGAATTTAAATCTCTGAATTTGTTTTAATGCATTAAGAATATTTGCTGAGCCTTCATCATGTTCTGAGCATAGTACGGCTCTGAGATTAAAAGAATAAAGACATCCCTCCACCACTTACTGTCTCCACGGCTACCTCCCTAGCCCAGGCCACCATCACCTCTCAGTCAGATTCCTGCAGGAGCCTCCTGACTGGACTCCCTGCTACCACTCTTGCCCCTCTCCAGTCCAGGGACCAGAAAGTTAAATCAAGATATGACTGTCGGGGCGCCTGGGTGGCTCAGTTGGTTAAGCGACTGCCTTCGGCTCAGGTCATGATCCTGGAGTCCCGGGATCGAGTCCCCGCATCGGGCTCCCTGCTCAGCAGGGAGTCTGCTTCTCCCTCTGACCCTCCCCCCTCTCATGCTCTCTCTATCTCATTCTCTCTCTCAAATAAATAAATAAAATCTTTAAAAAAAAAAAAAAAGATATGACTGTCACTGTCTTGCTTAAACCCTTTCCCGTCGCATTTAGAAAATCCAGAGCTCTTACTCCTTACAGTGCCCTGCACAGTCTGACCCCTATCTACTTCTCTTACCCTATATTGTCCCATCTCTACTTCACCAACTCTGCCATGCTGCCCTTTCTATTTTTTGAATATACCAAGCTCATTTCTGCTTTGTGACTGGGTGTACAGGCTATTCTTTCTACCTAGAGTATGGTTCCCTTGATCTTTGCATGGCTGGCCCCTCTTCCCTGTCATTCCCGATCCTAGCTTAATGGGAGGCCTTTCCTACCACCTGGTCTGAAGCACCTGCTCTGTACCTTCCTCTTTCCACTTCGGACACTCTACTTAAATTACCTATATTACACTTACCATGATGTGTTTCTTATGTGTCTTTTTCTCATTTCCCATGAATGTCCTTCTCTCCCCATCCTGCCCCATGTGGAATAAAAGCTCTGTGAGAGCAGAGAACTTATTTGTCTGGTTCACTGTCATATCCCTAGCACCTAACACACTGCCTGGAGCACGACGGGCAGTCACTTTTTTGTCAATAATATTTGTGAAATGAAGAGGCCCATGCTTTTAAAGATGCTACAGTGTAGTCATAGACACAAATGACTAGCTCAGCACAGGAAAGAATAAGTCGTATCTTTAAAGACCGCTGGGTACATGATTGAAAGAGCAGTTCATTCAAGGTGTGGGAGAGGACGGATAAAGGTGGCAAAGTTTTACTAGGGAGGTAACAATCGTCTTTGGTCCTGAATAAGGAATAGGGGCAGACTTGAACATTAGGACTGATTAAACAAAGGGAATGTCGAAAGGTAGCTCTTGGAAGCATAGAAATACGTGAGGCATTTAGGGCAAAGCGAGTAGGTCAGCTAGAATTCTGAGTGAGTAATGGGTGGATTTACAGCTGGAGCAACACAAGTGCCAAATTGTAAAGTATCATATTCACCAGTAACGTTTTGAACTTTGTGTAGGAAATGGAGAAGCTATTCTGACAGCATTATGGAGGATATATTATAAAGAAGGAACAAGGTATATAGATCAATCTGACTCAGAAAGGGGAAAGCCTAAACAGTGGAATGAAAGACAAGCATCCAAATGGAGTATGCAAATAGACTGTGTGTTAAAAATTGTTTTCAATAGTTGGGTTTTTTTAGTTCAAGTTACCCTTCCTAAAAGTTTATTTTCATCTATCTTACAGAATTTGGTTGACCTTGCAGGCAGTGAAAGAGCTGCTCAAACAGGCGCTGAAGGTAATGGAAACTCATAAATGTATTGGTCTCAATGTCATCTTGTTCTTTTACAGAATAAAAAAAAAGTGCTACCTTGCACTTTAGAAACTAATAAAGATAGTAATTTTGTGATGAAAGTCCTTAACATAAAAAGCAGCATCTGGAGGCACCTGGGTGGCTCAGTCAGTTGGGTGTCCAACTTTGGATTTCGGTTTAGGTCATGATCTCATGGTTGTGATATCAAGCCTTGTGTTAGGCTCCCACTGGGCATGGAGCCTGCTTGAGATTTTCTCTCTCCCTCCCCTCACCCCTCTCGTGTTCTCTCTCTCTCTCTCAAAAATTTCAAAAAAAAAATTTTTTTTAAGTTCATTAAAAAGCAGCTCCTATATCTGGCAAATTATCTAGGCTACTATAGCATCAGTTAAAAGCTAAACTATGCAGTTGATAAGATTGCATAGCTGCAAAGCTTGTGAGAGTGCAATGAAAACCAGATTTTCATAATTAGTAAGGAAATTCAGAAAGGTGGTGGAGTATAAAATTAATATACAGACATTAATAACTCATAATACAAACAACAACCAGTTCGAATATTTAGTGTACAAAAAGACTCCATCCATTTACAATAATGACTTAAGAGATCTAATACCTAGGTAGAAACTCAACAAAAATTACCTAAGGCCAAAATAAAGAAAACTTTAAAACAGACCTAAAGGACATAATCAAATACTTAAATGGAAAAGCATACTTAGGAAGTTTCGAAATCATGAAGATGTCAGACCTTTCTATGTCAATTTCCTACAGCCTGACACAGAGACACTCATCTGAGCATGGCCTATATCCACCAAACCAGTGGATCCTACAACCTGTGAACAAGAAATATTTGCTCGTGTTTTAAGCCTGCATGTTAAGCAGAAATATTACAGCAGCAGCTGAATCATGCACCTGTGAAATAACAGCTGTCCAGAACTATTTGTTGTAGTACTTTTTGTATATGTGGGAGATTGAAAACCTACATGTCCCTCAGTAGGGTGCTGAGTGAATAAATTGTGATACATCCATACAGTGGAATTTTATGCTATAAAAAAGTGAAAAACACCAGTGTTTAATGATAGGATATATTACCAAGTAAAAAAAGAAGCAAAGTACAAATTAGCATATATAACGTGCTACTATTTGTGTAAAAAGGAAAAGGAAGAAATAAATGTATGTGAACTTGTATTCGTAAAAATCTCTGCAAGAGTCAACTAATAAAAGTGGTTTCCTGGTAGGAGGATAGGAACTGTTTGAATGGAGCGTAAGAGTAGGAGAGAGCTTTTCAGTGTACTTTTTTTTTTTTTTTTTGCTGATATATGAGCCATATGAGCATATTAGCTTAAAAATTAGAACTTTGTTGGTTGTGAGTCTATAGGAATTAATTTTGTTGTTAAGTCTATAGTTGCCTAGGGGCGCCTGGGTGGCTCAGTCGTTAAGCGTCTGCCTTCGGCTCAGGTCATGATCCCAGGGTCCTGGGATTGAGCCCCGCATCGGGCTCCCTGCTCAGCGGAAAGCCTGCTTCTCCCTCTCCCACTCCCCCTGCTTGTGTTCCCTCTCTCACTATCTCTCTCACTGTCAAATAAATAAATAAAATCTTTAAAATAAAAAAAAAAAGTCTATAGTTGCCTATATTTGGAGGTTTGGAAAAAAACAGATTTGAACTGAGGAGTTAGACAGACTCTTTTAGGAAATGAACTTTTCTTCCCTCTGATTTTATTTTTCCTTAGCCATCTGTTTCTTTTTGTTCTTTCTCTCAGGTGATAGCATTTCTAGTTTACTTAATAGGTTGGAGGAATAGGGAGAGAGGCATTGAAAGTGGGCTCAGATTGGGCACCTGGGTGGCTCAGATGGTTAAGCGTCTGCTTTCAGCTCAGGTCATGATCCCAGAGTCCTGGGATCGAGTCCCACATCGGGCTCCCTGCTAGGCGGGGAGCCTGCTTCTCTCTCTCTCTCTCTCTCTCTCTCTCTCTCTCTCTCTCTCTCTGACTCTCATGAATAAATAAATAAAACATTAAAAAAAAAAAAAGAAGAAAGTGGGCTCAGATCCAATCCAAAGCACAGACTTTACCATCTGACCCTTTAATTTCTCATTTCTTTTATAACTTACTGATAAATAAGTTCATCATTTAGTACAGAGGTCAACTTTCATTTTCATATTTGCCTAATAAATGCAGGTGTGCGACTCAAGGAAGGCTGTAATATAAATAGAAGTTTATTTATTTTGGGACAAGTGATCAAGAAACTTAGTGATGGACAAGTTGGGTAAGTTTATTCCATTGTACATTTACTTATTGATGCTTATATTTTGCGTGAGGTTGAAAATTGTAATACTTTAGTAACACTCAGATAATGTACTGATTTCTTCCCTGTATTAAAAAGCTTTTGTGATTCTGTGAGCATGCCTAGCTTCTAAGACATATGACTGTGACCTACTAAATTTACTTTTTATCTTAAATATGATATAGTTAGTAGTTTTGATCTGCCTCAGGTAACCTGTAAAGAATTTTTAAACTGTAGCTAATTTAAGGTTCTGCACTAAAAACCAACCGCTGTTGTTGTATAAAAATTCTTACTGTTTTTTTCCCCAAACCCCTTTCTCACTAAGTGGTTTCATAAATTATCGAGATAGTAAATTAACACGAATTCTCCAGAATTCCTTGGGAGGAAATGCAAAGACACGTATTATCTGCACAATTACTCCAGTGTCTTTTGATGAAACCCTTACTACTCTACAGGTGAGTTTGATTTTTATTTCAATATGGGGGAAAATCATCTTTAAGCAGAAAAAATTACCCACTAAAATTAGGTATCTTTTTTTTAATGACATAACATACCTGCTGCAATAAAACTGATGTATTGCCTACTAAATAGTATTCCTTTATTTTCCCAAATTTCAATCATTCATATCCCACCTCCATAATTTTTGCCACATCCAACACTATCATACTATTTTTCTTTAAAAAAAAACTCACTTTTTCTACTTATTGTAGAAGGAAACTTTGTCTCAGTCCCATGAATGAAAAACTAGTATCATTTTCAACAAATATGTGTTTGTGTGTGTTTATAACAAAATAACTCTTGAACTCCTGCTAGCTGATTGTTGCTTGCCTTTGCTCTGAGCCTAAGGCTTACATTTTCTGTTAAAAAAAGGAAAAATGAGAAATGTCAATAGAACAGCTGTCTCAATCAAGGATTCAGTATTATTTAATGGTCACCTTCATGGACCTACTTACAGTTACTTCTGCTACTTACACTCTTAAGAAATGTTGTTCTCAATAGTTACTGAGCACTGGATCAAGGTAGTGTCAGAGAAACAAAGATAAAAGGTTCAGTCCCTGACCTCACAGTTTATAGTCTTAGAGGGAAGGTAAGACCAGTCTTCCAATCTGATTGCCTGGATTAATTAACTATTAATAAGTAGAATAGAGTTCAGAGGAAGGAGAGATACTTTCAAGTGGAAGCAAAGCTTCAGAGTAGAGGGGGCAGCTGCACTGGACTTTGAAGGGTGGTTGGGATTCCAGTAAGCCAGTGTTTGTAGGTTCTCTGTTGGCATCCATCCATCTTCAAGATATTTCCTTCGCTCTTCTGAAGACTAGAAGCCAGGGTAAGTTACAAGGACATAGAATACTCTCCATGTTCAAAAGTATTAAGCCACCGGGGAAGAGTATGGATCTTTCTTTATAAAATTTAATTATAAGAAACCTAAATATTATCAATTAAATTAATTTTTTATATTGAACACTTAACACTCTTGTATTTTTCCCCAGTTTGCCAGCACTGCCAAATATATGAAGAATACTCCTTATGTTAATGAGGTATCAAGTGATGAAGCTCTCCTGAAAAGATATAGAAAAGAAATAATGGATCTTAAGAAACAGTTAGAGGAGGTATGTATGAACCATGTATTTCAGTAAAGAATAGGGTCAGATGGAGAACTAAGATCTGCCCAAATGCCCAGAGATTCTTAATTCATCAAAACCTGAGGTCTGTAACCTAAATTTAAAACAGCTTTCAAGTAAAGAGAAATCACCTCATAAAAATTTTAGTTTAGGGGCGCCTGGATGGCTCAGTTGGTTAAGCGACTGCCTTCGGCTCAGGTCATGATCCTGGAGTCCTGGGATCGAGTCCCGCATCGGGCTCCCTGCTCGGCGAGGAGTCTGCTTCTCCCTCTGACCCTCCTCCCTCTCATGCTCTCTGTCTCTCATTCTCTCTCCCTCAAATAAATAAAATCTTAAAAAAAAAAAAAAATTTTTTTAGTTTAATTTACTATAAACTGAAAACTTTGGTTTCTTGAAATTACTCTAGATTTTGTTTTTTATATCCAAAGGGCAAAATTTGATATTTTCAAATGAGCCAAGTAGAGACATTCTTTCTAAATTGTCACAAAAGATAGGGAATTAGGTTAACAAGAAAGACCATGTGTAGTTACTTAAAACTTTAATTTTTGTATTTTCACATTATCTTGAATTCTTCTGACCCTAAGATAAAGTCTAATAAGGTAGCATAATCACTTGTCATTGTAATTTGTTTCTTTTAACCATTACAGTTTCATATTTTATAAAAATCTTATATTTTGGTTATCTTTTTTAAAATGAGCTAAAATTTAAAAAAATAAAATGACCTAAAATATCAAATGAAAGTCTTATGAGAACATCTGTTCTTTTGCCATAGGTATTCAAGCCTCTGCTTTTATAACTTCTCTGCCTATCATTTATATATTTTTAGGCAATTACTAGAATTGCTTTAACAGCCTTGCTATAATCTTATATATAGCATCTAGAATACACGGGAAGAAATGTGTATTTTACTTTATTATAGGTTTGAGAAATTACTGATGATGGCAACTGCCATAGTGTTAGTATTTTGTAGGTAGGGTATATTTCATTTCAGTAAAGCCTGATGCGGGGCTCGATTATCACAACCCTGAGATCATGACCTGAACTGAAATCAATAGTCGGACGCTTAACTGACTGACCACCCAAGAGCCCCCACATACAAATTTAATATTCTGTTCTTTTAAGCTACTTTCAAGGTTTTAAAATCTAGCTACATTTATTATTAACATAACTTAATATTACATTCTATAGGTTTCTTTGGAGACTCGGGCCCAGGCAATGGAAAAAGACCAGTTGGCCCAACTTTTGGAAGAAAAAGATTTGCTTCAAAAAGTACAGATTGAGAAAATTCAGAACTTAACACGGATGCTGGTGACCTCTTCTTCCCTCACATCACAACAGGAATTAAAGGTAAAATTTAAAAGATGACAACTCAGACTTGGTATACAGAGACTAGGATTGGTATTCCTATATGTTTATTATATAGTTATGCATTTCTTATCCTTTGATACAGTATATTCAGAAAACCCAGACCATTTTGTGTGTTTGCCTATACATTAGTAAAACCAAAGAAGTTCATTAAAAATAAGGATCTCTGATCCCACGTGTAGAGATCCTAATTCAAGAAATCTAAAATACTCACAAGGAATCTATGTACAATATGTTTCTTAAGAAATTCTAGTGAAGTTGATCAGGTGATTGAGAACCCTAAGTGTCTAGGGTATGTGGTAATATTTTCTATTTAAAGAAACAAATATTAATCGTGGGAAAATTGATCTAGAATATAGATCAAAATAGTGATCAAAATTCTGACTTCCCGTATGTGTACTTTTTGTTTTTACCAAAGTTAGGGGTTTTTTTTTAGCCCAGTAGGTATTTTTTGTCTATGATGGTATCATGATTAAAAGGATGGCCTCTGGAGCTTGACTCCCCGGATTTGAATCCTGGTGCTGTCAATTCCTAACTCTTTACCTTAGGCAATTTCTTAAATCCACTTTGCTGCAGTTTCCTTATCTGTGAGATAGCTTGATTCCCACCTCGTAAGATTGTTGTGAGAATTAGGTGAAATAATGCATAGAATGTGCTCAACACTACATTTTCCACAGGGCAAATCCTCAATAAATATATGCTCTTAAGATAATATTATTAATAGAAATTATGTTCAAGTCACCATACTAGGTATAAAGAAGACATCCCAAGTGCTATTTGTTGACTGACTGATGAATAGGAAACAGCCCAATGGAAGGCATAAGGAAGACTATTTCAGGAAGAGATCCACATGTACAAAAGCTTGGAGTAGTGAAAACAACATAATGTATCCCTTGGACTTAAAATGTTTTGGTGGTAGGGGAATTTTAAATCACAATGAAGGATTTGAACATTGCATTATGCTAAGGGCAAGCTAAAGTCTTGTAGGTAACATGATCATGATTGTGTTTCAGAAAGGTATGGCTGCTTATGTGCATCAGATTGGTTGGGGTTCTACAAGGACTGTGACTCTGGAGATGGAAAAAAAACAGATCAGTTGGAGAGCTATGTGGGAGAGAGACTCAACAGGACTTTGTGATAGCTTAGCTGTGGGGGTCATGGAGAGGGAGAGAGAGGTATCCAGAATGACTGGCAAACATTGCTGGGTAGCTGGTAGTATTTACTGTTAAGGAACATTGAATGAAGAGCAGTGCAGCTGCTCAGTGTTTTATTTGGGACATCTCCAGTTTAAGATTTCAGGCAATTGAAAATGAAAATGAAAATCAGGTGAAAGATGTGAGGTAGATATATCAATTTGGGCATTAGCTACTGCAGATCCAAAGTCAAGTTGTGGGAATGGATGGGCTTGTTCTGAGAGCATGTTGGGAATGAAAAGAAGACCAAAGACCAGACCCCAAGAACGACTTTTAGATAAAGGTAGTAGAATCCCAAAGGGAGCCAGGATTCGCTCTAGAGTTAAGAAGGAAACCAGATGAGTTGTGGTCACTAAGGGAAGAGAATATTTCAGAGAGGTAGCACTCAGCAGTGTCACATTCTGCTGAGAAGTTAATTAAGATAAATATAGACGATTTTTTGGATTTGGAAACAAGCTCATTTACAAAGCAATTTGAGCTATGTGCTAGGAGTGAAAGCCATCTTACAGAGGGTTGAGATGACCCCAAGGGATGAGATCATGAGCACATTAGAGGGGACTGGCCTCAGATAGAAAAAAGGATCATTTATAGATCAGCTCACCTATAAAAAGGATATAGTAATAGGATAGTTGGGAGGATCAAGTAAGATGAGATAATACTTGTACCTCCTAGAGGGACAGGAGAAGAATGGTAGCCATGAAATATGGAAAAACACAAGCAGAGGAAGAGAAACCAGCAAAGCAGAGTGAGTGGTGGGATAAGCACCAGGAGACAGAGGTGTTCCTGAAAGGATGACGAAGGAGTAGACGGATGATGAGGAAGAGCACGAAAGAGCGATGAAAAGAAAATTGTAGCTAGAGAGAAGTAAGGAGTGAAGGGTTTGTTTTAAAAAAAAATCAAAAGCAAATGGAGAGGCTGGAGTGTTCATTCATCGAGCTGTTAGAGGGGGCTGGTGAGGCTAACAGATGAATAGGTAACCCAGGGAGCAAGGTCCCAGGGGAGAGAGGAACCATGAGGTTAGGAGCCCTGGGAAAGGCATTAGCTTTACTGCATTGGAAGAGACTGGCATTGTGAAGGCTGTGTGGAGATCTACTCGCTGAAGGAAGTTCAAACAGACCATCTGTCTTCCCTTCCCCGTCAGAGCTGGACAGCCCAAAGTGCTTTTGGTAGCTGTGGCGGGCAGCAGCAGCTTCCCTGCTAGGGAACACTGGATCACTTGGGGGCTGGGAGTCAGCCGATTCCTTTCAATTAAGTCCCAGGAAAGTTTGTAGGGAAACTTTCAAATAAAACATGAATTTTATTTTATTTTATTTTCTTCAAATTTTTATTTAAATTCTAGTTAGTTTACATACAGTGCAATATTGCTTTCAGGAGTAGAATTCAGTGATTCATCACTTACATACAACACCCAGTAAAACATGAATTTTAAATGATAGTTTCATCAAATTTTTTATAGGGTTAAACACTGATTTTATTTTATTTTTTTTTTTTTTAAAGATTTTTATTTATTTATTTGAGACAGAGAGAATGAGAGAGAGAGAGCACATGAGAGGGGGGAGGGGCAGAAGGAGAAGCAGGCTCCCTGCCGAGCAGGGAGCCCGATGCGGGACTCGATCCCGGGACTCCAGGATCATGACCTGAGCCGAAGGCAGTCGCTTAACCAACTGAGCCACCCAGGCGCCCTAAACACTGATTTTAAAAGTTTGTTTTCTCATGACATCCTTAGACTGATAGGATATTAAAATAGGCTTAAAAAAAATTCTACCAAGTCCGTGGTTTCCAAGAAATATAAATTAATTCTCATGTTTTACGATGTTTGAGCCCAGATCTGTTTAAGGTAATTTTGATTTTTTTCCTCTTAGGCTAAAAGAAAACGAAGAGTCACTTGGTGCCTTGGCAAAATTAACAAAATGAAGGACTCAAATTATATAAATGAATTTAATATGTCAACAAATGTAACAAAAACACGTAAGGCGGCTGCAACCGTAGTGGGGGAAATTGATGAATGTGAGTGCTTTTTTAGCTGCTTTTAATTACAAAAGCATCCCAGTAAAGAACTACTTTATTTATAACTCAGTTAATGTGATAAACACATTTAATAAAATGTATGCATTTTAGATGCAATTACAATGGAGATAATGATAAAAATTAGTGATTTTAAGAAAGTGAACACTCTCTATTATTTTCACATCTCTTAAGAATGATACACTTTAGTTGAAACACGAGACATTTTTATTGTTGGTTTTGTTCTAATCATTATCCAGTTAAATTAGTATCCATATAACATAAATTAGTATCCATATAACATCTGCCTTAAACTTTAATTTTGAAAGGGTAGCATTACACAGGCATGTTTCAAAATAATGTCTCCAACATTAGCAGTATTTTTAAAGCATTTTAAAATCTACTTACATTGATCAAATCTCAAATTCAGAATTTGTCCTTTTACCTATATTGTATCAAGGATCGAGTATTTTATTACTAATTCTAACCAGGGATCTTAATTCATAAAATATTATAAATGATCATATCTTTTGTTAATGTATTCTTGGCATTCATATTTTGAGCACATGTTAGCTAATTGGAGCTTATTATTACCTCCGATCAGATTTTTTTTTAGTCTTTGACTTTTAAGAAACTTTATTAAACATATTTATGGATAAATTTCTTTTTCCCCTAATTCTAGCTTTCTGCTCAGAGTCTGATATTTTCAGTAATACTTTTGATACATTAAATGAGACAGAGTGGAATCCAGCAACAAAGCTACTAAGTCAGGTAACTTAAATGTATTTTATAAAACATTATCTCTCACTCTTTTTAAAATTCACTTTTTGTTGATGTTTACATTGTTGTAGCAGCACATTACTCGCTCTGACTTAATTTTAGTAACAGTTTTGGTTCTAATTACTCGTTACACTCCTAATTGATAACTGACACGTAGAAGGAAGCTAAAAATTTTGTAATGCTGGTGTATGGTAATAGGTAAACATTTGCGTCTAGTTCTTTCCCAATAGATCTTGGTATCTATGGGTTTTTTGTTGTTGGTTTTTTTTTGGTTTTTGGTGTTGTTGTTTTTTTTAGTTTCTGTTTTTCCTTACATAATCCCGTAAGGGTTTTAAAAAAGGCTGATTTTTAAAGTGTCAAAAGTCTCAGGCATATAGTAGAAGAATGACACAGCAGGGAGGGGGTAATATTGCCAAATCATACTGAAAAATTAAAGAAAATGTATTATGTGTGGTTTTATCAAACCTTTAGGGAATACTATGGTGAATACTTCACTAGGTATAGAGTCCATATTGACTTTCTAGGCTACTAATGTCCAAAAAAGTACAGTATAGTTTTATAAATGTATTTGTTAAGAAAATTTCATTTTAGTTTTAGAATAAAATTGCAGTGATTCTTGGGAATTATTATCATTACTTAACCATTGAATTAGTTAAAATTAGGTGTTATAGTTAAAATGCTTTTATGTCCCTAAAACATCCTCTAGAAGTGTGTTGTTTTTGGAAAATCCCTGGTGTTAATTTTTGTTTTTTTAACCTGCAGTTTATCTCTTTCTCATAATAGTGTACAAAACAGAAACAGGCCTCTTTTGAGTATGGTAAAACATAGCCTTTAGAGTTTTAGAGGTCAATAAATAATACCTCTGTTTCCCTTCCAAAATTCAGACCTATTTAAGAAATAAAACAGGCATCAGACAGGTGGAGAATTAAATTATCGGCTTCATAACAAAGGAGCATAAGGATCTATGGTCAAGTGGACTTCCCGGGATGCACCCTACCTCCCCAGCCTCCTACTCCTGACAACTTTACCAGTTAGATATAGGCAGAGCACTTGTTTATATGATCTTTTTTTTTTTTTCAATCCTTTCAAAATAGTCTTCTAAGCTAGTTTACCAAAATGCACATCCTTTATTTTACCCTGGATCAAGCTAAACCATTAGAAAGATATTGAAGAAGAGAATGACCTAAGTTAACTACATGATTTCCGGTTAAACTATTTGACTAATCCAAATTTTAGTAAGGAAACAATATAGGATTAGAATTCTCTCCAACTTGAAAATCTGGTTTTGTTTCCAATAGGAAAACTTAGAAAGTGAACTGAATTCACTTCGTGCCAACTATGATAATCTGGTATTGGACTATGAACAACTAAGACGAGAAAATGAAGAAATGGAATTGAAATTAAAAGAAAAAAATGATTTGGATGAATTTGAGGCTCTAGAAAGAAAAGCAGAAAAAGATCAGGAGGTAAGAGATATGGAAACATGAAAATAAAACCACACTTTTAAAAGAAGTATCATTTTTGGGCACCTGGGTGGCTCAGTTGGTTAAGCGGGGGCCTTCAGCTCAGGTCATGATCCTGGAGTCCCGGGATCGAGTCCCGCATCGGGCTCCCTGCTCGGCAGGGAGTCTGCTTCTCCCTCTGACCCTCCCCCCTCTCATGTGCTCGCTCTCTCTCATTCTCTCTCTCTCAAATAAATAAATAAAATCTTTAAAAAAATAAATAAAAGAAGTATCATTCTCTTAAAGATGTTTATTTCTAAGGTTGACATATGGAGAATCCAACCATTTTCTATGTGTACACACAATTTAGAGAATTTAAGAAGTAATTCACATACTATTTTTCTCAAACATTAATTTGAGCACACCAGAAGTACTGTCTAGAGTATAACCATTTCCTGCTGAGACCAATATGAATTTTACTATCTGGCTGAATGTTTTATGCATGGATACTATGTGTTAATGGATTTCATTTTCTTTACAAAGTATATTCCTAAATATTTAGATTATTAGAATGGCTGGGGAAGCTGATTTTGCTCATGTCTTTTTCCGTATCAGAGAGTTATTGTGAAAATTATTGTAACTAATACTAAATACTAGTAATGAAATTATTAGAAATGAAACAGATCACTTAAATTTTCTAAATATATAATATTAAGCTACATGTTAAGAGAACTCAATCCAGAAACACTCAGACTTCAGATACTTAGAAATTGTCCCAAGAAATTCAAGAGATTTCTTAGAGCAGACCTTCCTTAACCTAGAGGTCACAGACATTATAAAATTATTTTGCAGAATTTTTGAATGCATATTCATTGTTCTGGAACAAGAATCCATAGCCATTATAAGACTATGAAGTAATCTATAACTCCCCCTACCCTCAAAATAAGAGCCAGTGTTCTGGTGTAGTTAAAATATGAGTTAATTTGCAGCTACTTCCGAGATTTCTGTGAGGATGGCCCAAAGGGACACAATGCTTTTTCCTCGGTATTGTTGTTTCATTTCTTGCCCTCTTTTTTTTAATTTTTTTTTTTAAATAAGGAAAAAAACAATTCAGTGCCAAAAGTATTATTTCCATTCTACCTATAAATTAAAGTTAATCCTACATTTCATGGGTATATATCCTAAGATGCAAAGTCCGTATGTTCTCCACAGGGTTTCATTTAACTTGTTTTAAAATTTGCATGTTAACAAAATACAAAATGTCGAATATTGACCTGTAGACGTCAATCAATAAACACTGAGTTTTATAAGGAAGGGGGTGGTCTAGTGTCATGGTTAAGAGCATGGTCTCTGGAGCCAAACTTGCTTCCAAGTAGGATACAGGCCTTGAGTGAGTCTCGGAATCTCTCGGGGCTTCCTGTTTCTCTCCACCCTGGAGGTTGAACCAGGTGCTTGCCAAGGCCCCTTCTAACTCCCAGTGTCATCTAATTCTATCTTACTCATTATAAATAATATGACATAAAATTAACTTTGGGCATAAGTATAGCAATAATTTCTCAAAGTTTTTTACATGATTTATATATTCAATAATAAAAACTGAAGCTCACAGAGTAAATGACTCTCACATCCTGATTCTTTTTTTTCCTTTTAACCACAGTCAAGGGGGAAAATAAGCCTATTCTTTTCATCTTTACTTGGACACAACTAAAATTCTAGGTTCTATAAGGTAACTTAAAATATTAAGTAATAAAAACTTATTCTGCTCAAAGGCAGTTCCATTCTATTTTAAACTAAGTCTGTGTATGCAGTAAAATATGTTCCCAAACCTTCATTTTGGGAAAAGCTTAGCCAAAAAGGAGGTAAAATTCAAATTATGGCCTTAGGACATGTGGTCATTGCCCTGGTTTGCCTAATGGTCTTATAAATCACCAGAGCTGTGTATCATTTTCAAATGGGAATATAGAAATACAGGATGTTTAAATAGTAATTTTTAGAAGGGGGGTAAACAAAGTCAAGTCTCATCAAGCTCAGGGAACAAAGGAAATTCCAACCCTCCACCTGATTTAACTTGATTAATTTTAGAATTTTAACAACTTGGACGTTTTTGTCTTAAGGAATTAAATATTTTATTTTACCTGCTGAAAATTACATAAATTGAAATGTAATTTTTTTATGTAGCAGCCAATTAACTTTTGATTATATCATATACTTTCTTTATACTCAGCATCTTAAATAATACCTCATTAGGAAGTCACAGTCCAAGCTTTACAAAAGTTCATCTTTCTCCATTAATTAGAACTAATACTTAAAGTGCTATTTCAAATGAGAACTGAGATAAGTTTTCTTTCTAAATGTTTATTTTCTAAAATAAAGATTAATTTTTTAGTTCTTCGTTATTTTTTTTATTGTGTTATGTTAATCACCATACATTACATCATTAGTTTTTGATGTAGTGTTCCATGATTCATTGTTTGCATATAACACCCAGTGCTCCATTCAGTACGTCCTCTTTAATACCCATCACCAGGCTAACCCATCCTTCCATCCCCCATCCCCTCCAGAACCCTCAGTTTGTTTCTCAGAGTCCATAGTCTCTCATGGTCCATCTTCCCCTCCAATTTCCCCCCCCCTTCATTTTTTATTGGTAAATGTGATTTTGTTGCACAAAGTTTAGAAACAGAAAAGAAAAGATAAAAGATGGAGCCAATTTAAATTATAGCCAACACAAATGTCTAAAATTTTGCTGAACAGTTGATAGCCACTAACCACATGTGATGATTGAGTACTTGAAGTGTGGCCAATTTGAACTGACTTAAGTATGAAAAAAAAAAAATGTAAACTATTTAGTTTTTTATATTGATTACATGAACAAGTGATAATATTTTGGATATATTAGGTTCAAATATATTTTTAAGTTAGTTCTGTTTTTTTAATGCAGCCAGTAGGAAATTTTCAATTACTAATTTGGCTCACATAATATTTCTGGATGATGCTGACCTAAAATAGGAATGTCAACAGTAGTTTGAATGTAAACTAGTTAGGACTGAATTAAACATTCAGAAAATATTACTTAAACAAGATGCTATTTTCGTAAATCCCTTACATTTCTACTAGAATTTGCCTTTACTTTTTTATTCTTTTTTAATCTTATTTTATTTAAATTCAATTAATTAACATATAGTGTATCATTAGTTTCAGAGGTAGAGTTCAGTTATTCATCAGTTGCCCATAACACCCAGTACTCATTACATCACATGCCCTCTTTAATGCCCATCACCCTGTTACCCCATCCCCCCACCCACCTTGCCTTTACTTTTTTTTAAAATTTTTTTATTGTTATCTTAGTCCCCATACATTACATCATTAGTTTTAGATGTAGTTTTCCATGATTCATTGTTTGTGTATAACACCCAGTGCTCCATGCAGAACATGCCCTACTCAATACCCATCACCAGGCTAACCCATCCTCCCACTCCCCTCCCCTCTAGAACCCTCAGTTTGTTTTTCAGAGTCCATCATCTCTCATGGTTCGTCTACCCCTCCGATTTCCCCCCTTCATTCTTCCCCTCCTGCTACATTCTTCTTCTTTTTTTTTTTTCTTAACATATATTGCATTATTTGTTTCAGAGGTACAGATCTGAGATTCAACAGTCTTGCACAATTCACAGCGCTTACCAGAGCACATACCCTCCCCAGTGTCTATCACCCAGCCACCCCATCCCTCCCACCCCACCCCCCACTCCAGCAACCCTCAGTTTGTTTCCTGAGATTAAGAATTCATATGAGGTCATATGATACATGTCTTTCCCTGTTTTACTTATTTCGCTCAGTATAATACCCTCCAGTTCCATCCACGTCGTTGCAAATGGCAAGATTTCACTCCTTTTGATGGCTGCATAATATTCCATTGTATATATATACCACATCTTCTTTATCCATTCATCTGTTGATGGACATCTTGGCTCTTTCCAGTTTGGCTATTGTGGACATTGCTGCTATAAACATCAGGGTGCACGTACCCTTTCAGATCCCTACTTTTGTATCTTTGGGGTAAATAACCCAGTAGTGCAATTGCTGGATCATTTGGTAGCTCTATTTCCAACTTTTTGAGGAACCTCCTACTGTTTTCCAGAGTGGCTGCACCAGCTTGCATTCCCACTAACAGTGTAGGAGGTTCCCCTTTCTCTGCATCCCTGCCAACATCTGTCGTTTCCTGACTTGTTAATTTTAGCCTTTCTGACTGGTGTGAGGTGGTATCTCATTGAGGTTTTGATTGGGATTTCCCTGATGCCGAGCGATATTGAGCACTTTTTCCTGTGTCTGTTGGCCATTTGGATGTCTTCTTTGGAAAAATGTCTGTTCATGTCTTCTGCCCATTTCTTGATTGGATTCTTTGTTCTTTGGGTGTTGAGTTTGATGAGTTCTTTATAGATTTTGGATACTAGCCCTTTATCTGATATGTCATTTGCAAATATCTTCTCCCATTCTGTCGGTTGTCTTTTGGTTTTGTTGACTGTTTCCTTTGCTATGCAAAAGCTTTTTATCTTGATGAAGTCCCAATAGTTCATTTTTGCCCTTGCTTCCCTTGCCTTTGGCGATGTTTCTAGGAAGAAGTTCCTGTGGCTGAAGTCGAAGAGGTTGCTGCCTGTGTTCTCTAGGATTTTGATGGACTCCTGTTTCACATTGAGGTCTTTCAACCATTTGGAGTCTATTTTTGTGTGTGGTGTAAGGAAATGGTCCAGTTTCATTCTTCTGCATGTGGCTATCCAATTTTCCCAACACCATTTGTTGAAGAGACTGTCTTTGTTCCATTGGACATTCTTTCTGCTTTGTCGAAGATTAGTTGACCATAGAGTTGAGGGTCCATTTCTGGGCTCTCTATTCTGTTCCTTTGATCTATGTGTCTGCTTTTGTGCCAGGACCACTTTGTCTTGATGATGACAGCTTTGTAATAGAGCTTGAAGTCCGGGATTGTGATGCCACCAGCTTTGCTTTGCTTTTTCAGCATTCCTCTGGCTATTCGGGGTCTTTTCTGGTTCCATACAAATTTTAGGATTTTTTGTTCCATTTCTTTGAAAAAAGTGGATGGCATTTTGATAGGGATTGCATTGAATGTGTGGATTGCTCTAGGTAGCATTGACATCTTCACAATATTTGTTCTTCCAATCCATGAGCATGGAACGTTTTTCCATTTCTTTGTGTCTTCCTCAATTTCTTTCATGAGTATTTTATAGTTTTCTGAGTACAGATCCTTTGCCTCTTTGCTTAGATTTATTCCTAGGTATCTTATGGTTTTGGGTGCAATTGTAAATGGGATTGACTCCTTAATTTCTCTTTCTTCTGTCCTGTTGTTGGTGTATAGGAATGCCACTGACTTCTGTGCATTGATTTTATATCCTGCCACTTTACTGAATTCCTGTATGAGTTCTAGCAGTTTTGGGGTGGAGTCTTTTGGGTTTTCCACATAAAGTATCATATCATCTGCAAAGAGTGAGAGTTTGACTTCTTCTTTGCCAATTTGGATGCCTTTTATTTCTTTTTGTTGTCTGATTGCTGTGGCTAGGACTTCCAAAACTATGTTGAATAGCAGTGGTGATAGTGGACGTCCCTGCCGTGGTCCTGACCTTAGGGGGAAAGCTCTCAGTTTTTCCCCATTGAGAATGATATTCGCTGTAGGTTTTTCATAGATGACTTTTATGATATTGAGGTATGTACCCTCTATGCCTATACTCTGAAGAGTTTTGATCAAGAAAGGACTTGCCTTTACTTTTTAAGGACTCAACGAATTATGAAGATTTCGTAATTCTAAGAGAAAGTATGTTTATCTCTGGTAAGTTGTCATTTATGTGTTTTGACACAAATGTATGTAGTACTCAAATATTTAATGCTCCAGGTATTTGATGGAAAGGAAACTTTAATAGAAACACATGTATTTTTAAGTATTCTTTATACTTTTAGACAGTTAAAAAATATAAAGCAATAACATCATTTTCCATAGAATGAATCAACAAGGTAATAATTGATAATCCTATACATATCTCTGTAGCTTTAGTGAACAGTAATATTATTGTAAAGGCACCACATGAAACGACCCTAATCCAGACCTAAATTCTAAAACACAAATCCTTGGGCGCCTGGGTGGCTCAGTTGGTTAAGCGACTGCCTTCGGCTCAGGTCATGATCCTGGAGTCCCTGGATCGAGTCCCGCATCGGGCTCCCTGCTCAGCAGGGAGCCTGCTTCTCCCTCTGACCCTCCCCCCTCTCATGTGCTCTCTCTCATTCTCTGTCTCTCAAATAAATAAATAAAATCTTTAAAAAAAATAAAAATAAATAAAAAATAAAAATAAAACACAAATCCTTAAAAAGTATGCCAGTGTAAAGCTAAATGGCTAATTTATGGGAAGAAACCAAAATATCTTGTAGAATAAATAACATTTCTGCATTGAACCTCCCCAAAACAAAAATCTATTAAAAGTGTGTTTTTTAAAGTTTGATTACCAGTTTATATCTTCCAAGGGATGCATACTAATTTGCTTTTGACATTATTATAGCATTATTAACAGGTGACATAACTGTTACTTGGGTCATGCTGAGGTTTTTTTCTTGTTTGCTTGTTTTGTGGGGTTTGAGGATTTTTTGTTTGACTTACTGGGTTTCTGTTTGTTTTGTATCTTCAAATAATGAGATGCTTTGTAACAGTAGCTTGAACAACTGATCTCTTAATCCTTTCTTACTGTTTTGGTGATTCTGAAGCAGTGAATAAATGCTATCTTTTGGTGGGTTTTTTTTTTTTTTTTTTGCTTTATTAACTATTGGTTTGCTCTGTTGCCTGTTCACATGCTCTTACAGATGCAACTAATTCATGAAATTTCCAACTTAAAGAATTTAGTTAAGCATGCAGAAGTGTATAATCAAGATCTTGAGGTGAGCATTTATGTTGGTATTTCTATTATAAGGAACTAGAACTATAAAATGTACATCATACGTAATTGAACATGATTTCAGAAAATAGAAGAAACATTTTGTTTTTTAAATATCAACTTTTTAAATTTTACTAATGGTTTAAACTATTAAATGTAAGTTCTTTTTTATCTCCTAAAATTTAAATCCAAGAAAATACATTTCACATTTTTCTGTTTCATACTTCTTATAGAATGAACTAAGCTCAAAAGTAGAGCTGCTTAGAGAAAGGGAAGACCAGATTAAGAAGCTACAGAAATACATAGACTCTCAGAAGTCAGAAGATATGAAAATGGACTTGTCATACTCATCGGTAAAAATCAGGTTTATTTTGTTGTTTAATCATGTAGGCATTTATAGTATACCATCATCATTATTATCAATATTGAGCTTACATTGAGCCTACTGTGTGCCAGGCATTGTTGTAATTGTTTTACATATAGTATTTTATTTAATCTTGTCTATGACTCTGTAAAAGTGTGACTGTTAGTATCATTGCCATTTTACGGATAAAGAATTATTCATAGAGAGTTGAGGATATCGTTCTTTGAGTGAATATAAGTTAGTTAAGGATGAACTTCCATTAAAAATTAGTAATTCACAATTTATTATTTTTTTCAATTATTTTATGCAAATGCATGCAGAAGTATGTAGTCAGTATCTCCAGGTGAGCACTTATGTTGGTATTGATAAGTAACTGAAACTGTACATATCACATGCGATTGAGCATGATTTTATAAAATTTTATAAATTTCATTAATATTAATGCATTCTCATTATAATTTAAATAACTATTTTAACAGTTTGGTATTTTTCAGAAACTGTAGATGATTTTAGTTGGTATAATATATGATATTAAGGGACTGCTGGGTGGCTCAGTCAGTTAAACATCTGCCTTCAGCTCAGGTCATGATCCTGGAGTCCCAGGATCAATCCCGGGATCAGGCTCCCTGCTCAGCAGGGAGTCTGCTTCTCCCTCTCCCTCTACCCTCCCCCCTGCTCGAGCTCTCTCTTGCATGCTCTCTCTCTCAAATAAATAAATAAAATCTTTAAAAAAAAAAGATATGGCATTAAATAACATTGAATTTCATGATGAAATTGTTAATTTTTGCTGCTTGCTTTCTATTCTATTTGCCTTCAGTCCTCCTGATTACTTCAAGAAAGTATCAGTTTGATTCTAGTTTTTAACTCTTTTTAAGAAGGCAGCAGTTTCAAGCTGAAATTTTGGTTTTTCTTCTTTTGTTTTGATTTGAGTTTTTCAGAGTAGTTTTTATTACCTTCTATCAGGACTCTTCTGTTAACTGACAAATGATCCTTTGTAAAAGTAATCTTACTGTTCTAAAGAAAGGGGGAAGAAAGGCACTTTCATAATCCAGGAGTGTCTGTTGATAGAGTGGCAAGCAGAATTGCCCACTTTTTAAAAATTGCTATTTCTTTCTCTTTATTCATCCAATTCATTCATTCATTTGTGCATTAATATTCTGCCAAGGATATATGTGCTTGAATTTATGTAAGCTAAAGTTAAAATGCCACTTCTCTCTAAAAATGAGACTGAGATCTTTTCATGTATTTATCAATCATTTGCATTTTCCCTTCTGTGAGTTGCCTATTCATCTTTTCTCTGTTTTTCTATTGGTTTTTTTGTGTTTTTCTTTGTAATTTGTGATTTCATATCCTTAATTTTAATTATGAACTACTCACCTGCCATTTTTAGATGGCAGGTCATTTTAAGTCATTTTAGAATGACTTAAAAATACATAGGAAATTTTAACAAGCTAGCTGAACAACAATTGTGTTAACCTTTTTTAAACAATAACAAATTTCTTCAGTCTCTACAATGCTTCTATAATTTGGAAAAAATATAGCCAATTTTTCATAAATAAATATTTAAAATATTTTTATTATGGAAAATATTATTTCTTTTCATCTTTTCCTAAATAGACATTTGAAATTAGCATATTTCACTAAATTCTTTTTGTCCTGTGTATAGGAAAGCACTGAAGACATAAAACAAATGAAACAGACTCTGCTTGATACTGAAACTGTAGCCCTTGATGCCAAGAAAGAATCAGCCTTTCTTAGAAGTGAAAATCTGGAGCTGAAAGAGAAAATGGTAACTGTTTCCTGTAATATTTATAATAAAATAGTTGTTACAATCAGTACATTTCTGTGAATTTGCAATCTTTCTCTCAACAGAAAGAACTTACAAATACATACAAGCAAATGGAAAATGATATTCAGTTATATCAATGCCAACTGGAGGCAAAAAAGAAAATGCAAGTGGATCTGGAGAAAGAATTACAATCTTCTTTTAATGAAATAACAAAACTCACCTCCCTTATAGATGGCAAAGTTCCAAAAGGTATTTCATAATTTCACTTAATTCTTTGCAGATCTGACTTTGTCTAGAAACCTACCTGAAGGATTTTGCGACTATATTCCAATGGGTAGAAATCTATTATCCTCTGATATGATTGTTTTAATAGCCTAATAATGAGTTTTGATATTATTTGAGATCAGTATTTATAACTGCTTCCATAGAATTCCAATTAATAAGGGTTTAGGAATTATTTTTCAAATAAATTGGACCTGATTTTCAAAAATTGGTTGAAGAACTATTAACAGTTAGATTACCTGTTAACCAACATTGACTCTTTAATAAATTTTTATATAGTCTGATTAAATAATCTAACTTTGCATATAATTTAGATTGTCCCAATAACTGCACACTGTTTTAATTTACCCAAAATGTCCTAGATTTGCTCTGTAATTTGGAACTGGAAAGTAAGGTTACTGACCTCCAGAAAGAACTGAATAAAGAAATTGAAGAAAATGAAGCTTTGCGTAAAGAAGTTAATTTGCTCTCAGCATTGAAATCTTTACCCTCAGAAGTAGAAGTGCTGAGGAAAGAGGTAAACACATTTTTAAGCAAATAATTCTTCTTTTGAAATAAAAACCTTTGTAATAGCACTTTAAATGTCTTGCTGTAGTTTATCTTAAAGTAGCAGTCAAGAGAGTGTAAACATATGACTCAACTTGTTAGGAATAGAAATGAATGTAGTTCCTCCTCTAATTTTCTTGTATTACCAGAAAACACACTTTCAAAGCCTATTTAACAGTATACTTAGTAACTTGGTCCATGTAACAACCATTTCTGTAGTCCTCAAATGTTTCACTTAAACAGAGTTCTAGGGGCGCCTGGGTGGCTCAGTTGGTTGAGCATCTGACTCTTGGTTTCGGCTTCGGTCATGATCTCGGGATCATGGGATCCAGCCCCGCAGTGGCTCTGGGCTCAGTGCAGTCTGCTTGCCCCTCTCCCTCTGCTTCTTACCCCCATGCTCTCTATCTCTCTGAAATAAATTTTTTAAAAAACGATTTAAACAGAGATCAATGGGGGCATCTGGCTGCTCAGTCAGTAGAGAGTGTGGACTCTTGATCTCAGGGTTGTAAGTTCAAGCCCCACATTGGATGGAGAGATTACTTAAAAATAAAATCTTTAGGGGCGCCTGGGTGGCTCAGTCGTTAAGCGTCTGCCTTCGGCTCAGGTCATGATCCCAGGGTGCTGGGATCGAGTCCCGCATCGGGCTCCCTGCTCGGTGGGAAGCCTGCTTCTCCCTCTCCCACTCCCCCTGCTTGTGTTCCCTCTCTCGCTATGTCTCTCCCTGTCAAATAAATAAATAAAATCTTTAAAAAAATAAAAAATAAAAAAAATAAAATCTTTAAATAGAGTTCTATGGCCCATCCTTTTTTTAACTTTTTTTTTTGGTACTAGTTCTATCACTATGTTGAATAAAAAAACGTAATGAGATGTAAGGGAGGGGACTGATAAAGTTTAGGGGTCAGTGTAAATCTTGCAGGCCAGTGAACAAACCTGTGAACCATCAGCCAGCTTTTCCTTCCTCTCTACCTTTCTAAAAGAAATAAAACTGACAAGTGTTTGAAGACCCAAGTGGCAGACATCATGCTAAAGAACTCTAGCAACATTATTTAGTCATCCTAAAAACTCTTTAAAGTAGGTGCTGTTTTTTAGCTCAACAAATAGTTACGAAGCCAGTAGCTGAGCTACACAGATGTGCCTCCTCTCCTAAGTCCATGATTGAAACAACCCTGCTGTTTTACCCCTGTCCTTAGCCTCTGCTTTAAGTTCGCCTCTCTTCTTCCCACCATTGCTACCTTACCTTTCACAGTGATTTTACTGTTTATAAGCTGGATAGGGCTTATTTAAATAATAATTCAAATAAAGCTTAACTATTTAAATTATTCAGGGATCACATTTTTAGAATCTGGAGCTACATTCAAAGGCTTTAGGGAAAATGTCAAATTCTAAGACGAAACATAAAATGACACACCAAGAGGTTAGAAAATACTTTAGAATGATAGATAAGGAAATAAAGGCACATCCTGAAATAAAGTATTTCTACTGAGTATCCTTCTCCATGCAATCCTTGCTAGAACCCAAAGAGAATAGAAAATAAAACTGAAGGTAAATTTAAAGAGGATAATACATTGTTAAAGGATGGTGACAATAAAAATGTTGCCTTTCCTTGGTCAAATTTTTGCATAATTTCAATGTCTTCCCCCTCCCCCACCTTGTCCCCCACCCCAAGGAAACTTTTTTTTCCTGAAAACTGCTTCAGTAGATCATACATTGCTAACATAGCTAAATTTTATTTTGTTTCCATAGATGCATGATAAATCTGAAGAGCTCTGTGTAATAACATCAGAAAGAGACAATTTGTTTTCTGAAGTAGTTCAAAAGGAAAGTAGAATTCAAGATTTACTTGAAGAAATTGGGAAAACTAAAAATGACCTAGCAATTACCCAGTTGAATTACAAAAGCACTGATCAAGAATTCCAGGATTTTAAAAATCATCATATTGAATTTGAGCAAAAGTATAAGATGGTCCTTGAGGAGAATGCAAGAATGAATCAGGAAATAGGGAATCTCTCTAAACAAGCTCAAAAACTTGGTTTAAGTTTGGATGCTGTGAACACAGAGGTTGGTACAAGACACCCTCTAGGGAGCGATCTTTAACTTTCTGGGGTTTGGCTTCCATTTATATACCATAGAATGCTCTGCTTTTCACATTTACTTTTTCTTATTTTAAAGCTTTCTCCCAAATCTGAAGAAGTTCAGAAAACAACTGAGAGTCAAAAAAGGTTAAATGAAGTGGAAGAGCTGAAGGAACAATTAGAAAGTAGAGATTCGAGGCTGCTAACTATGGAAAAGGAAAAAACACTGATCGCTGAGCAACTTCAACAAACTTTAGTAGAAGTAAGAACCTTAACCCAAGAAAAGGAGAACCTAAAACAACTCCAGGAGAGCCTGCAAATTGAGAGGGACCAACTCAAAAGTGACATTCAGGATACTGTAAATATGGTAAGGCTTTTACTGAGTAAACTCTGAAAATTCAGAGCCTCTTTACAAACAGGACAGGAGCCATCACTTATAATTCATGATCCAGTAGCCACTACAAAATTACTTCCACTGTTTCACATTATTCTAATGGACATTGTTTTCTGTTTCTCTGACAAAGAATATAGACACCCAAGAACAATTAAGACATGCTCTTGAGTCTTTGAAACAACACCAAGAAACAATTAACACACTAAAAATGAAAATTTCTGAGGAAACTTCCAGGAATTTGCATACAGAGGAAAACCTAGGAGAAACTAAGGATGAATTCCAGGAAAAGGTAAATGGTGTTTCCATCAAAGTTTTTATATATGTGTAGATGAGCTTTCTCTTTTACCTCAAACACTTAAGTACATAATGATAATCTCAATCTTGTTTATTATTCACAGTGCTAATAACTAACAATAATTTACAAACATAAACCTGATGTCTTTGAAATAACTTGACATATAACTGCTTACAATCAATTTGGGAAAAAAAGGCAAAAATTAGTTCAAACTTTAAGCTGATATTTTGAGGCCTAATGTATTTTAAATGTCTTTAAAAACCCTTCTGAAGGGGCGCCTGGGTGGCTCAGTTGGTTAAGTGACTGCCTTCGGCTCAGGTCATGATCCCAGGGTCCTGGAATCAAGCTCCGCATCAAGATCCCTGCTTGGCCGGAAGCCTGCTTCTCCCTCTCCCACTCCTCCTGCTTGTGTTCCCTCTCTCGCTGTCTCTCTCTCTCTCTCTGTCAATTAAATAAACAAATAAAATCTTTTAAAAACAATTTTAAAAAAATAAAAATAAAAACCCCTCTGAATTCTAAGAAAGTTTGCTTATTATTAACTATGTCTAAAATATTTGTTTTATGTCAGATTTTATATATTAAACTTGCTTAGAGATCCCTATGAAATCAATGTGTATATTTTATTTATGCCTGTTTCTAGGGCTTGTGCTATAATTTTTACTATTAGGTGCTTAAATCTCACCTTAATTTATTCTAAGTAATATGGTTCATTTTGTCCTGAGACCTTGGGAGAATAAGGTCTTAACTGGTTATTTAATTATATACAACAAACACTAGGAGATGCTAATGATGTTTGTTTTGTTTTGTTTTGTTTTAAGAGAAATGTGTTAGTCCACTAGGGCTTCCATCACAAAATATCACAGACTGCTGGCTAAAACAACAGAAATTTACTTTCTCCTGGTTGTGGAGGCTAGAAGTCCAAGATTAAGGTGCTAGAAAATTTAGTTTCTGTTAAGTCTTCTTTTCCCTGCATGCTGATGGAACCTTCCTTCTGTGTCCTCACGGGGCCTTTCTCCTGTGCTCAAGCTGAGAAAGAGCACTGGCATTTCTTCCTCTACTTAAAAGGACACCAATCCTGGGGCACCTGGGTGGCTCAGTCGATTGGGTGACCAATTCTTGATTTTAGGTGAGGTCTTGATCTCAGGGTTGTGATTTTGAGCCTCACATCTGGCTCTGCGCTGGGCATGGAGCCTAATGAATGAATGAATGGATACCAGTCCTATGGGATTAGGGCCCCAGTTTCATGACCTCATTTAACTTTAATTATCCTCCTTAAAGGCTTTATCTTCACATACAGTCACATGGGGGTTAGGGCTTCAAAATGAATATTGGGAAGACAAAATTCAGTCTGTAACAGGTGATTGCCTATAATTTTATACAATGGAATCATTTACTATATACATTTCTACTTTTCAAAAATGCCTTTGATATATATTATCAACAGGATTTTTTATACTGCCTTTCAGTTTTATGCACTTAATGCTATTTATTCCAGAATATTTGCTACTAGGAATTTAAAACATTCATCAGTGGGAGACTGGTGAAATAATCTTTCACACATCCATAGCTTGACATAGTATATGTATATATAATATGTATGTATGTATATAGATAATGCAACTGGGTTTTATGTGGTCATAAAATTTTTCAAAATTGCATATTATATGCAAACAGAAAAATCAGATGGACATATTATTAAATAAAAACAAATACTGCTTCAGAATAATTCAGTAAGCTCTAACTTATATAAATAAATATCTATATAGATTTATATGCTATTACTCTATATAATGAGCTTTTTTTCCCCATTTACCCTGGGGTACAGTATTCTTGCCTTGGAAAAGCTTTCCCTCTCTCTCCCTATGCTTCAGTACTTCTCTCCTAGAAAAGCATTTTCACTTGTTTTATATCTTGTGTTCTCAGCTTATATGTAGTTTGGATCGATCAAATGAGCCAAAGGCATTTGACCTTGATTTGAAATTTATAACTTTCACTTTCATTAGGGGAAGGTTTTTTGGAAAGATTTTTGAAAATAAGATACAACAATATTTAGCTGCTTATAAACAGATGCAAAAATGCAATTATAGGGACCCACGAGAAGGGCAATAGCAGAGGAGTGAGGGAAAAAGAGAGTTCAATTCACTGGGACCAGCTGGTGTGTGGTAATAAGTTTATGCTAGAATCATCTATGTTGATAGAAAAGGTCCAACTAGGGCTTTTCTGTTTCTTAGGGTGTCTCAAATCTGGGATGGAAGGCTAGGATCAGCTTAGTCTTCTGTTACCGTGTTCATAATGGAATCCCACATGGACCCCTCTGTTCATCTGGACCCCAAGGGGCTGCATTAGTAGGTCTCTCATGAATCCCCTTAGAGTGCCCACTTTATTTTTTTATTATGTTAATCACCATACATAACATCATTAGTTTTTGATGTAGTGTTCCATGATTCATTGTTTGTGTATAACACGCAGTGCTCCATGCAGAACGTACCCTCTTTAATACCCACACCAGGCTAACCCATCTCCCCACCCCCCTCCCCTCTAGAACCCTCAGTTTGTTTTTCAGAGTCTATAGTCTCTCATGGTTCGTCTCCCCCTCCAATTTCACCCCCTTCATTCTTCCCCTCCTGCTATCTTCTTTTTTTTTTTTAAACATATAATGTATTATTTGTTTCAGAGGTACAGATCTGTGATTCAACAGTCTTACACAATTCACAGCACTCACCATAGCACATACCCTCCCCAATGTCTATCACCCAGCCACCCCATCCCTCCCACTCCCCACCACTCCAGCAACCCTCAGTTTGTTTCCTGAGATTAAGAATTCCTCATATCAGTGAGGTCATATGATACACGTCTTTCTCTGATTTATTTCACTCAGCATAATAATCTCCAGTTCCATCCACGTCGTTGCAAATGGCAAGATTTCATTCCTTTTGATGGCTGCATTATATTCCATTGTATATATATACCACTTCCTCTTTATCCATTCATCTGTCGATGGACATCTTGGCTCTTTCCACAGTTTGGTTATTGTGGACATTGCTGCTATAAACATCAGGGTGCATGTACCCTTTCGGATCCCTACTTTTGTATCTTTGGGGTAAATAACCCAGTAGTGTAATTGCTGGATCGTATGGTAGCTCTATTTTCAACTTTTTGAGGAACCTCCATACTGTTTTCCAGAGTGGCTGCACCAGCTTGCATTCCCACCAACAGTGTAGGAGGGTTCCCCTTTCTCTGCATCCCCACCAACATCTGTTGTTTCCTGACTTGTTAATTTTAGCCATTCTGACTGGTGTGAGGTGGTATCTCATTGAGGTTTTGATTGGGATTTCCCTGATGCTGAGCGATGTTGAGCACTTTTTCATGTGTCTGTTGGCCATTTGGATGTCTTCTTTGGAAAAATGTCTGTTCATGTCTTCTGCCCATTTCTTGATTGGATTAGTTGTTCTTTGGATGTTGAATTTGATAAGTTCTTTATAGATTTTGGATACTAGCCCTTTATCTGATATGTTATTTGCAAATATCTTCTCCCATTCTGTCGGTTTTCTTTTGGTTTTGTTGACTGTTTCCTTTGCTGTGCAAAAGCTTTTTATCTTGATGAAGTCCCAATAGTTCATTTTTGCCCTTGCTTCCCTTGCCTTTGGCGATGTTTCTAGGAAGCAGTTGCTGCAGCTGAGGTCAAAGAGGTTGCTGCCTGTGTTCTCCTTTAGGATTTGGATGGAGTCCTGTCTCACACTGAAGTCTTTCAACCACTTTAAGTCTATTTTTGTGTGTGGTGTAAGGAAATGGTCCAGTTTCATTCTTCTGCATGTGGCTGTCCAATTTTCCCAACACCATTTCTTGAAGAGACTGTCTTTGTTCCATTGGACATTCTGTCCTGCTTTGTCGAAGATTAGTTGACCATAGAGATGAGGGTCCATTTCTGGGCTCTCTATTCTGTTCCTTTGATCTATGTGTCTGTTTTTGTGCCAGGACCACTTTGTCTTGATGATGACAGCTTTGTAATAGAGATTGAAGTCCGGGATTGTGATGCCACCAGCTTTGCTTTGCTTTTTCAGCATTCCTCTGGCTACTCGGGATCTTTTCTGGTTCCATACAAATCTTAGGATTTTTTGTTCCATTTCTTTGAAAAAAGTGGATGGCATTTTGATAGGGATTGCGTTGAATGTGTAGATTGCTCTAGGTAGCATTGACATCTTCACAATATTTGTTCTTCCAATCCATGAGCATGGAACGTTTTTCCATTTCTTTGTGTCTTCCTCAATTTCTTTCATGAGTATTTTATAGTTTTCTGAGTACAGATCCTTTGCCTCTTTGCTTAGATTTATTCCTAGGTATCTTATGGTTTTGGGTGCAATTGTAAATGGGATTGACTCCTTAATTTCTCTTTCTTCTGTCTTGTTGTTGGTGTATAGGAATGCCACTGATTTCTGTGCATTGATTTTATATCCTGCCACTTTACTGAATTCCTGTATGAGTTCTAGCAGTTTTGGGGTGGACTTTTTTGGGTTTTCCACATAAAGTATCATATCATCTGCAAAGAGTGAGAGTTTGACTTCTTCTTTGCCGATTTGGATGCCTTTGATTTCTTTTTGTTGTCTGATACTGTGGCTAGAACTTCTAATACTATGTTGAATAGCAGTGGTATTGATAGTGGACATCCCCGCCGTGTACCTGACGTTAGGGGGAAAGCTCTCAGTTTTTCCCCATTGAGAATGATATTCACTGTAGGTTTTTCATAGATGGCTTTTATGATATTGAGGTATGTACCCTCTATCCCTATAGTCTGGAGAATTTTGATCAGGAAAGAATGTTGTACTTTGTCAAATGCTTTTTCTGCATCTATTGAGAGGATCATATGGTTCTTGTTCTTTCTTTTATTAATGTATTTTATCACATTGATTGATTTGCGGATGTTGAACCAAACTTGCAGCCCAGGGATGAATCCCACTTGGTCATGGTGAATAATCCTTTTAATGTACTGTTGGATC